TTAAGGATCTGCTTGTCCCAATTTTCCACGTGGATACAGAAAATACAAAAGGATAAGAGGATAGTTTTTCTTACTGCTTCACCAGCCCATCCTACATCAGGACATAAGATGTGTGCTTTTGTCACTTGGTCAGGTAAATTTCAACAATATGATACAGAAGGATTTAACAGCTTCGAGTAGGGAACATATTCTTGCAATATGGATAGAAAATATTATTTTGGCACCGATTATCCTTGCACAAAATAAGGGTAGTCTTTTTGCGTGATTGATGCTTTTCCTAGATTGATTACCCATCTACCTTTTCCCATTAATGTAATGTTTATAATTTTATAATCTCAAATTGATTATAGTTGTATTTCCCTCTTTTCTCCATATATCATAAATCAGAGTGAATCTGTGACAGTTTTTGGAGTGACAACTGTTCTTTACTGTGATGTGTTCATCTTTTATTTATTTTTTTATTTTATTTTTTTTTTCATACAGATTGGGATTTGGGAGTCTGTTTATTGTATGAATGCAAAAGGAAACAGCTGAGAAAACCTGACATTTTAAATTCATGGATTGATCTCAGGGCAACTTACAAGGTGATGGAGCACAGTATGATAATCAGGATGGTATACTCTTCAACTGATGGAGCCACTTTACACATATACCAGGATGTTGTTTTCCTTAAAGGGACACTATAAGCACTCAGACAACCACTACAGAGGCTTCCAACGAAATAGCAGAGTAAAGCCCTACTATTTCAAACAGATGGTCTTATAGGGAGATGGTCTCCCTGAACTCACTCACATTTCCAAGAGCAGGCTGGAGCTACAACATTGCTACCTAATTGATTGGCTACTAGGCCTATCAGTTAAGTAGCATGGAACCCTTGGTTTCCCGCTTCAGATATTAATTTTTCCCCCTATATTTGCATGCGCAATAAGGATTGGTCTTGTTCCACTCACGGGAAAAGGGGCCGAGCAGTGGGCTGGACATGGTTGATATCTCTGCCCATCCTGAAATACAACCTGGCTCACTAAACAGTGAACCAAGCTGTGTACAAACTGTTGCTGTTGCAGAATGGTTTCTATCATTTTAAACAGTTGAACTCATCCGCTCATCCGGTGACTTGAATTGCTCTTTTTGGATAAACCACTTATCTTATAATTCCTTGCTGGACAGAAAGGTATGGGATAAAATCTCTTGTGATTTACAAATGATAGGACTTTCTTCTGTTACCCTTTATGTGCATATAACACAACTGTATGTATGAGTAAAATACTCATAATAGAAATAAATTTAAAAATATATATATATATATATATATATATTTATATATATATATATATATATATATATTTTTTTTTTTTTTCTTTTTTGGGTATAAGAACTTGTGCCCAGCTAGTACAGTTTCAGAAAAATGTCCCAGATTCATTGATTCTATTATTAGGAATACTTATTTTTTTATTCTTTTCATTTGGTTGCTTTTTCACCAATTTCTGTTAAATTCATAATATCTAATTTTTTGATAATTTCACACATTGCCTTTTCAGGCTAAGGTTCTCAGATCTTGTGTGTTCTGCTGCAGAAATTAATATTTACATTCTGATACATTGAAGTACTTCAGTATCCTCATTCATACATCAGTATCCTCATTCATACCTTTTACCATGTCTGTGGGTAGTTGTAGAGACAAGTTATAGATCTCATGATAACAAACTTTTCTTATGAGCCATTCACAGAAGTGCCTCAAAAAGGCTGAATTGTTCTGCACAAACTGCAATTTTTAAATTTTATTTCATGTTCATTTTAGCTTTTCTACAATCGGAAACCAAAGGGCTTAAATGGTGCGTTACAGGATTTAGGAATTGAGTTCTCAGGAAGAGAGCATTCAGGTATGACTTTGTTGTTTAGTTATAACACAAATATATATGAAATTTTTATTTAGATTATTATTTAAAGGTTTGCTAAACACGGTGAAAAGACAGTTGTGGAAAGAGACTTAAAGGGATTCTATAGGCATCAAGGCATGTTTAGCTTGATGGAGCTGTTTTGGTGTATAGAACATGCCCCTGCAGTCCCACTGCTCAATTCTTTGCCATTTAGTAGTTAAATCACTTTTGTTTCTGGTTTTGGAGCCCTGGTCACGCCTCCCCTGGCTGTGACACACACAGCCATGCATGAAAATGGTTTCATTTTCAATCAGGCAATTTTAACCCAATCTGCAAATTGAACTTTAATCACACTCAGACTCCTGCAGCTTTGGGTAATGAGGAAACATTAAAATGGATACGTCACGGCATGCTTACCTGCCTTCCATCCTGTCTTATGTTTACTTTATGTATTTTAAGAATAAAGTAGTGGACTACTTTGCCTTGTGTAATTTTCCTCCACTTGACAAACGAGGCTTAAGGCAAGCTCCATATCCTTTTTGTCTGTCTTCCACCGTTTATCGTGCATGATCTAGGGGGCAGGAGTGCAATAAAAAATAAAAAGGGCATATGCCTATGACAGGGCCTCTTTAAATTATGCAACATATGAGCTTACCACACTCAGCCGATCACAGCTGCCCATTGTTGGTATGAATTGGTGTGACTAAGGTAAGTTAGAGTATAATTTCAGCCAAAGCCATGCCTCCAGTGGGAAAGGGGGGCAAGACTGTGTGTGGCCAGGGACCCTCACTCAGTCTTGAAATAAGTTTAACACTATATGGGGACTTAAGCCACTGGAATCACTCCAATGAGATTAAATAGTGCCTAGTGTGTTCCTTTTAAAGTTAAGTGTGGTTATCTGCATCCTGGAGTATCCATTAAGAAAAGAGCATTAAAATGCCAAACGATTGCATTATAGTATGGTATTAAAGGAAAATAATATGGTGTTTGCTTCCCTCTCAATATATGATGTAAGTTCATGTTTTTCTGATGATCGTAATTATATATTAAAGTTTTTTATTTTCTTTAAAGGGTTGGACGATTCCCGCAATACTGCAAAGCTTGCATGGAGAATGATCTGTGATGGATGTGTAATGAAAATTACCAAATCATTAGATCAGGTTAGTTGGTTCTTTAGGTCTCCTTTTTTTCTTCATTCAGCAAGTCACGAAATGTAACCCTATATGAGAACGACTGATGACGCTTAGTCATGAGAAGTAATGAGACTACTGTGTAGTCATTCCTTAAAGCATACCAGCCAATTTTGAAAAGTCTGGATTTTGTTTATGAAAATTAGGTGCGACCCAAGATTTCCCCAGTGCGACCTCTACCATTACCTGCTCAAAGTGCTTCTTGCTCCAGTGAGGATAATCAACTTTCAACAACGATCACCGTTGACAAGGATCCTACAGAAAGAGAATTGCCTTCATCACATGCACATTACAGCATTATGACGCATGATTCCAATACCACTATTAAAAAAAATGATGGCACTAAGCAAGATGATGCAGCTAAACCTTCCAATGGAAACCAAAACCAAGACATACAACCACCACAAACATTAATTAATGGATTAACTACTACTCTTGGCAATGGACATAAATATTTTTTTTCAAGCCGAAGCTCAATCAACAACTTAGAAAATACTATACAAATAGGGGCCTTCACATCAACACCTGTAGGCAACACCTCTTTTGGTCCAGGGCATGTGCTAATCTCCACCACTGTCTCAACGGTAAATGACATTTCTGGGTTGGATATTAGTTCTTCTTCGGACTGTCTAGCCATGGTGGCTGACTGGGAGGATGCTGCACTAATCGAAGACTCTCAAGAAAATCAAAATACCGAATCCACTGAACTGGCAGAAAACAGTTTGTGTTCAGTTATGTTGCCAGGCATTGCATCATCTTCAAAACATAATTTAGAACATTTTAACGTGTTTAAAAAAGAAAGTAATGCAGTACTGAAGCCCTGCATGCCTCAGTCCAACTCTGTAGCTTATAAAAGTCCTGATACAACTATTTATAATGTCAAGCAACAGGGGTCCAATAGCTCAGCTTTTAAATTGCCCACTTCCTTTGCAAGCACATCTTCTAATAACTTGTCCTATGTTGGACAGAAAACAAAAACACCTACCTTATTAAATTATTTCCCGAAAAGGAAGCTTTCAAGTGTAAGCTTTTATTCTCCACCCAAGAAGCAGGCTTTTACTATACACGAAGATGATTTGGCCCATAACAGTTTGTCTACAACCATTAGAGCTACTCGGACTATTCCATCTACAGTTTTAAATTCTACAGTGAATATGAGCAACTCTAGGTCAACAAAGGATCAACGAATTACAGCCCCCATGTGTAAGTGTGGTAGAAGAGCTAAGAAACTTACGGTTTCTAATATGGGACCAAACCACGGCAGAGCCTTCTACAGCTGTACTGTACGGAAGAGAACCGAAGAAAATAAAAAAGGCTGTGACTATTTTAAGTGGGAAGATACACTTCTGAAAGAGAAATTAGCACATACTTCAGCACTGTTGTCCACCAGTGGGATTTCAGTTTCATCTCGCAAAAGCTTTCTTTCTTCGGGTTCCTCGGCTTCTAACAGAACATTTACTGGTTTACGACCATCCATGAGAACATGAAGAGAAACTTTCTTTAAAGTGAAATTATACAAAAGAAGTTTGGCAACGTGTTATTTCTTGTGTATACTATTTTCAAGTGTGTTGATTTCATTACATCTTTTGATCTGTGTGAATAATTGACTCAAGGAAAGTTTCCTATTTGCAGGCTACACTTTATAGATGGCATGAGAATGTACAATCTAACGTTAAGTCATTTTAATATTTGTTATATATTTGCATTCTTATAATCTTTGCAACCATGTCTAGACATGATTTGTCACTTTTACATTGGTCTTTGTAATCCTGGGTTAAATCACGTCTTTTAAAGTACATCTAACAGTTAAATATAACCGAATGTTTATGATTAAAATTAACTTCAGATTATCAAATCCACATGTATATTTTTCTTAAAAGGAAGAATATTTTCATATTCTAGAAAATTGTCTTTTTTATTTTATTTTTTATAAATAAAAGTAGAATGATCAAAGGTACAATACTGTATATTTTAAAGACATGCTTTTACACTGATATTGCATACACATCCTGTCTATAACTAGTTACTGATGAAAAAAAAAAAGCTATCATGATATATATTAGAAGAGTGAACTATTTTCTTAACAGATGCAAATATATCTGTCTGTATTTTAATGTTAGCCTGTGCACAAAGAACTATTTTATTTACAAAAGGTTACATAATAGATGGATAGATGGATATACATTTTTAACATCACTCTTAATGTGTAAATATTACTTTGCAAATTAGTAGTTCTTGAATTTATTGTGACTGTTTAGATTTAAATGCATTTTTTTTCTCTCTTCTTGTATAAAAATGGCTTTTTAACGATCTTGTATAGTTTCTTGAAAATGTGTTCCATTTTAAATTAACCCCTTAAGGGAATCGTGACATATCACACATGTCATGTGTTCTTAAGGGGTTAAAGGTAAAGTTGGAAGTGTGTCTTCAGCCCTATCCGAATTTCAATAGGCTTTTGGAGTTTGTACCCTCTCATTTGGACCATCTCAGCCATCAATCAATTTACATAGCCAAGGGAGCCTATTAGTATGCTGATAATATTGCCAGGTAGTGACATACATGCTCATAAATAGACTCCACACTTACTTAAAGGGACACTATCAAAACAACTTTAGTAAATTGATGCAATTATGGTGTCTATATCATGCCACTGCAAGCTTACTGCTCAATTCTCTGCCATTTAGGAGTTAAATCACTTTGTTTATGGAGCCTCAAATACATCTCCATGCATGTGACTCGCATTGCCTTCTTAAGCACTTTTTGCAAAGAGAGATCTATTTACATTACCTTTTATTGCACAGTCTAATTTAGAATTTTTTTTCCCTACTATGTTAAGTCTTCTAGAGACTGCTGGAGCCTCCTGTATATGATTAAAGTTTCATAACCAGAGCGAAGTGTCAGCACACTCAGGGTGGCTAGGATGGCATAACAAACAAAAGTGAATGAACTCCTACATGGCAGAGAATTGAGCAGTGAGAGTGCAGGGCATATCATCTATATACCAAAACAGCTTCATCAAGCTAGAGTTGTCTTGATGCCTATAGTATACCTTTAATGGTAACTTTAAAATGTGCAAATTTTTTTAAAAATATCACACAACCTCTACCCTGTTACAAATAGAGCACAATAATGCTCTGATGCTTTAAAGATGGTAACATTTAATGTATACATTATTCTTGCCATATTGCTAAATGTTATGTTTAAAATTCCAATTGATGTATCTGTGCCATCAGGATAGAGTTACCGATTTGAGTTGACAATGGATTGTATTTTTTCACAATGCAGAGCATAGTGCAAGGACATTTTTAAACAGACAGGCAGTTACATTATACCATTAATGGCTAACCTTGGCACCCTGGAATATTAAACTACATGTCCCATGATGCACCATCAGTTGTTTTTCTTTCCCCTAGTAATAGAGATTTAAATAGTCCAGAAATCGCTCATGATCATGAGCTTCCTTATGCTGCTTTGCCTGTCATAAGGCTGCAGTTGGTTTTCCATCACGACCAAGATTAGCCATCACTGTTTTTTTGGTTTTGGTAAGAAAATGACAAGATTGCTTACCTGCAATGAAACTAGTTTTCCACGTGTGCATGGGTCACACAGATTCTCATTTATAGGCCAACTATATTTTAACAAATGACTATAAAGGTTCATTTTTGTTTACTGATTTTGATTAACTTTTTAATAAATACTTGTGAACTTATTACAAAAAGCATTACTTTTTTACAGAGCATATTTTTTTTTTAAATAAACTAAAGCAATTATTTATTTTTAAAACTTTTGAAGCTTTGTTATTCCTACCTTTTTGAAATAAAATGTATATTTCTGGGTTTTGAGTCAGCAAGTGCTTTATTTCAACATCCTACCAACCTGATAAGTGTTATCGTGTGAAACATACAATTTATTTATTTAAAAAAGAGGGTTTTTTTTCTGTGTATATTATTTATATAATGGTGCTGTTTAATACAAAGATAATTGTAGGCAGATAGGAGGCATAATTGAGCACATTGTCCTTAATGAAAAAAAGTTGTAAAACAAGGCAATGTTAAAGATCTTAAAGGAACTCTATGACATAAGGAATAAGGAACTCTGGTCTTGCCTTGACCGCTGCTTCTCACCAGGCTGAGAGTTTTATTATTGATGATCTCAGCCAATCTAATGCTTCCCCATGGGGGGCACCAATCAGCATTTCCTTGTTAGGGATACATTGACTCTGCATCTCTATATGGAGCATTTGGCACCTTCTTGTGTACGCGTCGACTTTTGGTCCTGCTAAGATTGTAGGACTGTGCCAAAAAGTCACTCTAGTCCATCAAAGTTACTGATTGATAGTGTTTACATTGCTTCCTAAGGCCACCTCTAATGACTGTCACTCTGACTAAATTTTCTGGGAGTAGTTCGTGTTTTCATTGCTCAGATTACAGAGATAGTCTCTCTGCACGAGAACCACTACATTAAAGGACACTCCAGGCACCAATACGACTTTAATGCATTTGATAGATTTTGGCCTTATTAATATGCTGCATTTTTTGCATACTCATATCCATGTAGTTTTTGCACAAAAATCTTTCACTATAAGTCTGCCTCCTTAGCCACGCCACTCATGTCAGAAACATGCACATAGTCTCAGCCCCAACAGCAAAACGTTTGACTAACGTTGCCAAGATGTCACTTTAAGCAGGGGCAGGCAACCTTCAGCACTCCAGCTCTTGTAGACTACATCTCCCATAATGCTGTAACAGACATAATGCTGCCAATGCATCAGGGAAGATGTAATCCACAACATCTGGAGTGCAGAAGTTGCCTGCCAATGCACTTTAGCATGCCCCTCACCTGTTCTGCTTATGGGGTGCTGTCCCACTTTAGTTCCCTGGTGTCCCGCATCGGCAGACGCCTGGAAATGGTCTCCAGGCAGCACAGCGCGAGTGCATCATTAGACGGGTCTCTTCTGAAGTTCTCCCAGCATGGTCCAGATAGCTGGACTTTTTGCACGAGTCCACCCTCTCCTGAGCAGCTCCCCACCCCCCATTGTGGGCTTCGCTAGATGCGGCTCATGTCGTTGGCTACGCCCCCCTTAAATGCTTTGATTTTTGTGAATCTATCTCCTGTATACAGATTGTTTTTTTTATTTTTTATTATTTGTTTTGTTCTTTTCCGAGGGGGAGGGATACTTACTTTTTTCTCCCTTATGAAAACCAAATGTCGGTGATTCAGGAAAGACAGTAAAAAAGGAGTGTGAAATGCTTTAATTTTCAGTGTAAATCTCCATAAAGTGGAACAGATTTCTTAATTATGTTTTTACATTTTTTTATGCTGTTCATCAATTTGCTCATTAAATGTTTGAATGTATGTGTGTGTATATATATATATATATATATATAATATAAAATGTGTGTATGTATATATTTTTAAAAGCCTAAATTTTCCCCCATTCTTTGTTCCTCAGTTCATTTCTTCTAATTTTTCCACTGACTGTTTTTGGGAGCTGCTGGACAAATTCTATCTGTGTGGAAACAAAATCAAACACAATCACTTCATCAAATATAATACGTTAGGATTTATTTAAGACTGTAAATCATTGTTACATCAGATTTAGTTGGTAAAATAAATTGTCACAATTCCATACTTGTAATTCTTTATTTTGTGTTTGCTGACTACTTCAATGTTTAGTTTTAATTGTATGATGTCAATGGACTGCACTGAATATCAGTTGCAAGCATTCCAGGATTCCTTCCTCGGATATGTAAAAGGTTGCTCCAACCACCATGACCAGTTCTGCTTTTTGAAGTAGTTATGGTGGTAGGAGCCTAGATGTGCAATATTTCTGCTTGAAACACTCCACATGTTAATTGTGTGCCAGAGGCAAGTTGCACATGTGACTTAGGCAACCCAGAACTCTGTTTCAGGCTGCCTAGTATTTTGTGCATAAAAAGTCTTTTTTCACTGCGCACTGCCAACAGACTTAACTACTTCTCACTTGGGAGAAATTCTGGTCTCTAAGCACTCCCTCCTCCCCATCCCCTCTGCTATTTTTTTTGTTTTGGTTTGGTTTTTTACCAATGCTCTTCCTCCTCTTCCATTCCCAACCCTATCACACTCCCTTCACTTGCTCAGACAGCCTCCCCTCTGAGCTGGCAAAATGTTCTGGACCTTGGAGTGGTTCCCGTTATGTCAGTTGGAGGCAAGCCGAGTAGCGCAGGGAGCTTTGTCCAACGCTGGATAAAGGTAAGTAAACATTTTAAAAACAGCTTTGAGTGCTTCTTTAGGGGGATGATAGAATAATGCCAATAGGGTATTACTCTATTCTACACAAAAAAGTGTTTGAGTAATCCTTTAATGTTTAGTGAAAGTCTATTGTAGCAGTTAATGTAGTGTAGGAAGTAAGCAGAAGGACATCAGGACATACATGTAGCTGAGATGAGTGGGAGCACCAACGACCCTCGAGCAAATCCCATATCTGCCTATGTCACACCTCTCTTCCTTATGCCTTATTTTTGTCACTAAACTTTCCTATCCGTTCTCTGGTGGTTTTATATGTGCTACAGTCATTCTCCAAATAACATACCTGATCCTTTACTTACTGGTCAGTATACACACACATCCCTATTCCTCTGCATCCTCACATTTATCAGAAACATCAGGGTAAGGAAAGTGGGGTTTGTCCCTTCCAGTGCCATAATGTTCCATGTCACCAGGGACAGTGAAGTGATGGAAACCTTCCCTAATCTACGATGGCAATGAGACTCTCAGCAAATGTTCTACCCATTCATAGTGATCCTGCTGTCCCCTATACATGCCTATTTACAGTTCCTTGGCCTATCTATGCCGCTTTATTTAAAAATCTATGCAAACGTTCCATTTAGCGCTTTCATGGACCAAGACAATTTTTTGTGTGTTATTCTTTTCACAGTAATGCTGTGTCCTTACCTTCCGTGGATATTTGTAGGGTGCTGTTACTTTTTTCACATATTCCTGTAGCTCCGTGCTCAGTTTTTCTAGGTTCTGTGCTTCATAACCAGGTGCCAGAACTATAAAAGCTTTTACAACCTGAAAGACCAATTATTGTATTATTCTCTTTGTAACATTGAAAGAGGATCGCTATTATAGCTGGAATAGGGTCTAAAAGAAAGAACATGGTGTTAAGCATTATTTGCCCCTAGCCCCTTCACTATCAAGAAGTGATTTGCAAACAAAAAACTGAATCTTAGTATTTTTGTTTCAGTATGCACTGATCGCATATTATTTCATGGGGGGGAAAAAAAATAACATTTTGGGAGGAGAGGAAAAAATAAATATAACAAAAACCGTGTTTAAATAATTAAAATGTCTCAAAATTTAAAGGACCACTCTAGGCACCCAGACCACTTCAGCTTAATGAAGTGGTCTGGGTGCCTGGTCCAGCTAGGGTTAACCCATTTTTTAATAAACATAGCAGTTTCAGAGAAACTGCTATGTTTATTAATGGGTTAAGCTTTCCCCTTAATCCTCTAGTGGCTGTCTCATTGACAGCCACTAGTGGCGCTTGCGTGCTTCTCACTGTGATTTTCACAGTGAGAGCACGCCAGCGTCCATAGGAAAGCATTGTAAATGCTTTCCTATGAGACCGGCTGAATGCGCGCGCAGCTCTTGCCGCGCGTGCGCATTCAGCCGGCGGGGCTTAACGGAGGAGGAGAGGAGGCAGAGAGCTCTCCGCCCAGCGCTGGAAAAAGGTAAGTTTTTAACCCTTTCCCCTTTCCAGAGCCGGGCGGGAGGGGGTCCCTGAGAGTGGGGGCACCCTCAGGGCACTATAGTGCCAGGAAAACGAGTATGTTTTCCTGGCACTATAGTGGTCCTTTAATATTGTAATTATTGTAAAGGATACTACACCACCTTGATCCCAGGGTGCTACCGGGCCTGACGTTGGCCAATGCTTACAATGTATTTCTCAGAAAATAAATGATGGTCCAGGCACTTGAGGTAAATCCAAAGTGAGCAGGCTTATTGGAACAGATGACAGCAACGTTTCAACCCATAACTGGGACTTTTGTGTTTCTTACTCACACAATGTAAAATAATTTATGCCGTTGGGCAGAGAGAGCAGCAATGTTCCCTTGTGATGCATTGGGTCTTTAGACCTAGTGCTGAGAGATCTGTACTCTTTTGTTGAAAAAGTGTATAAATGACAGACCCCTACAGAAGATTGTGGAATCTGCAAGCTGTATTAAAGGAACACTATAGTGTTGGGAATACAAGTGTGTATTCATAACGCTATAATGCCCTAGTCACTGTTTATGTGACCGGATCCTTACTGCCAGGGTTAAAAATTTTATTTTACTTACCTTTGTTCTCTCACATCACTGGTCTCTGGAGTGTAGATCCACCTCTTTGGCTGGTCATAAATGAACACTATAGTGTTAGCTTAAGCTCCTCTCACATAATGAGCATTTAAAAAAAGACGTTTTACTTGCCTTATATCTTGTGGAGTGTAGGTCAGAGTGACTGCTACTAGAGGTGGCCTTAGGTAGGAGTGTACACACAGCCTTTTCTCAGAAAAGGCAGTGTTTACAAGGCTCAGCCTGCAGGGACAGACACTATTCCCAGAACCACTGCATTTAGCTGTACTGGTTCTGGTGACTATAGTGTCAATTTAAGAACTCTGAAAATGTATGTTTCTAAGTAAACTTCCCGATTAAATTCAAAATGAACTACATTTGTTTTACAATAGTAATGTGTACTCTTATTCCTATTAAATAGTAAAACTTTTAAATGCTAAATAATTGTAAGTGATATATTGCTTTCCTAGCATTTTGCCACTTTTGAATATCCCACTTACTCATAAAAAGAAATCTTATGAGTTCTCCATATTACCTCTCCTCTGATTGGATCTGGGCTGCTTACTACCGCAGATTCGGCAACAGATGGATGTTCAATGAGAGCACTTTCTATTTCAAAAGGCCCAATACGGTATCTAAGAAAGAAAAGACAAATATAAAACTGAGCTTTAAAGTTGGGCATTGGATGATATTTAACAAAGTGTCTTGATCTGAAAAGTGGTGCAACGTTCCATTACAGAACACTAAATTTACTACAAACCAGTAACAAGCAAACAGAAATAACAGTAGAAGCACCACACAAATGCTACTTATGTGTCAACTGTCATATAAGCAACAAGATAATTATCGAACAGTTATTTGCACAAAATATTAATCTTACCAACCTTAAAATCATAAGCCAAGAAATTGACAGTCAGCCTTTGTGAAATTGCTTAATTCCACTAATGGATGTAGTGGTTATAGTGCCAGTTGCTAACGGTTTACCTTCTTACCTGGGGTGTGTTAGGCACCGCTCCCCACAGCCGCAAGTGAAAGCTAGAAGCTCCTGATAGGAGCTTCCACTAGCTCCCCTGCAGGGTCAGCTCATTGGCTGAGAGTGTCAGGCTTTGTTTAAACCAGCGGTTCCCAAACTGACGTGCACACAGGGGTGCTGCGGAATGTTTCCCCCAGTGCCGTGGTCCTTTAAGACCGTGACCGGGCCCTTGTAATGACGGCCGGCTGGGAGCAAGTGACAGCCTGTCACTTCCTCCCATTTTCGTGCAGAGAGACTGTGCAGGAGGGAGAGGAGCATTCCAGGAGCTGCTCCAGACCCGTTGCTTCTAACAGCCAGCAGGACTCCAAACCACCCTCCTGGACACATAAGGTAAGATAACAGGAGGATGGCTGGAGATACAAAAATTATTGTGTGTGTCTGTATTTGGATGTGTGTGTCAGGGTGTGCATCTGTGTGTGTTTGTCAGGGTGTGTATCTGTGTATGTGCATCTGTGTGTCAGGGTGTGTGTTTTTATGTCAGTGTTTGTATATGGGTTATGGTGTGTGCATTTATCAATGTTTGTGTGTATATGTCGGTGTGTGCATGTGTTAAGGTGTGGGTATGTGTTAGTGTGTGTATGTGTTGGTGTATTTATATTTATCTGTGTGTTAATGTGCATTTATATGTATGTATGTATGTACGTAAGTATGTGGTAGTGTATGTGCATACATCCAATCAGTCAAACACCAGCACAACATACAAACACAGTCTTGCAATCTAACACAAATATTATATACAAACACACCCCTTCACTCAAACACAAATACTTCACACAAATGTACATCCGCATTTAAAAGTGAAGATTACATTCAAACACACCCCTGTAATCAAACGCAAACATTACATACAAACACACCCCTTTATTAAAACATTAAGACTATGCATTACACTAATGCCGCAGCGTTGTACAGATATACAACCTAGAAATTTTGACTTGAGGCGCCTTGAAATAATATTCAAATATTAAGGGCGCCTTGGACCTAAAAGGTTTAGGAACCACTGGCTTAGACAGAGGACTTCTGACTGCAAGACACAGTATCCAGCAGACCTCATTAAATGGTTTGACTACGTCAGGGGGAGGATGGCGTGCCCCTTTCATTTTGTCGAGGTTTGCAGACTGTGCATGTACAACTTGTCTCAGCTCTTTCTTTTTCTAGGAATCCTTTAAGTGTGGAATGCACTACTTTTTGCAGAGCATGGCTTGTAGTTAAAAACCTCTAACATTATTTATTTGAAGTATGCCCCGGAACAGAAGCAATAAAGCTCCTTATATATTTTTTTTTTTTGACAGGTGCTTTGAGCATTTATTCTCCACAACTCAGCAGGTGGCTGTTACCTCTATAACATCTCTTCTGTTTCAGAGCTGAATTTCTGAGCTTACGTAAAGATCTATAAAGTCCAAGATGTTTACTACGATCAAAGGTTACTCACACTTTAGAAATGTTTCCTTCTGAAAGCATAACTGGGTCGATGCAGCTTTGTTAAACAATACTGAATGCATTTTGTAGAATTTGAATTTCACTTCCGCATACAAATATTTTCAAAGTATAAAAAGGAAAGGATTCTTTGGGTACCAGGGAATCCTTCAGAAATTTTGCCCCATACAGTTTTTCCACCATAACCACTGTATTAAGCTGTAGTGGTTATGGTGCTTGGAGTGTAGAACTGCACCAGAATCTTTCAAAGAATGCTCACAAGCAGTCTCTGAATATCAGTCACCCAACTTCTTCATGTTAACGAAACCCAGTATATGTCAGCTTTGATTCCATTAATTCTTGGATTTATGTGTGTTCAGTTGCCAGGGGGTCTGTTATTGGTTTGGAACTCAGCTTCAGAAGTATAGCACTCCCATATGATCACAGTCCTAAGAGGAAACCTGAAGGTCGAGACAGGAACCTGATGGGCCTTTATTAAAAAGAGAACTATGGCAAAGGTATCCAATTGTCAGGTATACCTAACATTCATGCTGCCGCCGGAACCCACTTCCGGGTTCACGGCGCTTAGCTCCGCCCCTTTTTTCTGACGCGGTCTTTCCACGATACTTAGGAAGACCGCGCCATATTCAAAGTGCTGGATTATTCACTCAGGTGCGGCAGTGAGATCAGCTGCTCTACTCGATGCTACCGGCTCCACTTCTCAGACCTCGGCTTGTAAACGGATTTCTACCTTCTCATCTCTCAGACCTCGGCTTATAAACGGAATTCTACCTTCTCCTCTCCCAGACCTCGGCTTGTAAACGGATTTCTACCTTCTCCTCTCTCAGACCTCGGCTTGGACAAACGGACTTCCTTTCTCTCACTACTAAACTGCAGTTTGTTAAAAGAGACTCCTTCCTCTTCCTCCATTGGGTGAATTAACCCTTCCAGTGCCAGAGTGCTTCTAAGTTAAGTAAATCTTTTGTCAAGGAAAGCAAGTCATATCAATTAATTATAGTATTTAATTTCTTTAAACTCTCTGTTGACAAATAAGGATTGCTGCTAAGGCTAAAACTTCATTATTAAAATTCAAGTTGGAACTAACTTGGCATTTTCCTGATTATTATTTAAAGATACAGTCCACTGATTTCACTCCAATATAATAGGAGGTGAAACTTACTGTTCCTGCCCTCAGAAAATTCTTCAGTTGAGTTCCAATTAAAGAGGTATTACACAAAAGCATCACACCAATAAGGGGTAAGTCTGGAATCCAGGTCAGGAGATCTGAAGGTTGTGCAGCAATATGCAAAGTCGGGGGGGGGACCGAAGTCAGAACCAGGAGATCAACCAATGGAAGGTAGGACAGGAACATGGTAAATGATATAGAAACGCCAGGAGTCTAAGGCAATCACTAAAAACAACCAAGCACTACTGGGAGGTACACAATCGTTAAAGGCTGCTAGCGTCATATAAATGGATTATCACTGTTGGCGGGGCTCTGAGTACACCATGGGACTCAGCGTCATCTTGGTGATGTTATTGTCCATGCTTCACTCCCACCACGCCAATTGACCTTCCTCATTCGTCCAAACATGTTCGCAATAGTCCCACATGGAGGTCGCCATGTTGAGACATCACAATCCCCACAGAATCCATGCTGGCAGTAGAAATGGAGTGGTGGGGTGCCACAACCTCCATGGACTGGCTGTCATCTGGTAGGGCACTGTGACATTGACAATTAACATTTTGTTGGTTTATTTGAGACAGCTTGTACATTAATAAGTAGTAGATATTACGCATTGAACCAGCAGTGCTAATCTTGGAACTTTTACCTTTTTTTTTTACCAGTTATAATTTCTGATATTCTCACTGTGACAAAGTGCCCTTCACCACTTGTGCCTGGAGAGGACTACTTGCCAGCCTCTTGCCATGTAATTATGGTCCCTGGGAGATTTGGCCCTTTAAATACAGTATTTGGGCATAATGGATTTTTATTGTGCTGCTGCTGGCCCTGGGGACATACTGTGACTTTTGGGAACAATGCCCCTTTAAGACTGTCTCCCCTGTCCCCTAAACTACTTAGTTTTTGCCCTTTTCCCCACTTGGTTCAGTAAATGGGGCTTACTGAACCAAGTACCACACAGGCGGACCACCCAGAAGTGGAAGCGTGCAGGCAATTTACCTCCCAGGCTGGGAGCCTGCTGCAGGTAAATTGCCGACCGCTGGGTGGTCGCAGTTCATGCAAACACATGGCGGCGCCATCTTTGTTCATTCGAACGAGGTCAGCGGTGTGTGTAGCCAAATTCATGGAACTGAAATCGGCTACACATTTGAACGAGCACCGCTGACCTGTACCTTCTCCTCCACTTCGACACTGCGGCTGGAGACTAAGTCCCGTTCGAAGATTCGAACGCTCATTCGAATGGGACTGAGTCATTTTTTCAGTGTTAAATTGACCGACCGCACAGCCCAAATCTATGGAACTGTTTTGGGCATGAAAATGTGCTTGCGGTCGGTCATAAAGGACTTCCGACTAACTTTTTAACCCCTGGAAGGAATCACTGGAATTTTGGATATGTGTGTAATTAAAGTGTGCTGAATAATAATATCTTGTTTTTATGAATATTGAATGTATAGTTTTAAAGTTATAGTACATGTCACGATTCGGGGAACCTAACACGCCAACACACACACACACAAAGTGCCGTACCGGACCTTAGAGTGGCCGGGCTAAGCACACAAAGAATAGTCAGGAAACAAGCCGAGTAAAGGGGAACCAGAAGACAGAATAACGATAGACAAGCCGAGGTCAAAGGGTAGGAGAAAGTCACAGAGTCGGATAACAAGCCAGAGAGTACGTAACCAGAAGCACCAGTTCAGAATCAATACTAGCAGGTAAAGACCACAACAGGGAGAAGAGGAACAGGAAAGGTAAGTATATAAATCCAAAGGTTAATTCTGATTGGATAATTTCCAATCAGAATTAACAATCACACGTGGGAGATATCTAAACCTCCCACTGTGATTGAGGCACTGTGCCTTTAACGCCGGGTCAGGTGACTGACCCCGGCGTTTGTTAAAGTGGGCGGTCTCCCAGCGTGCAGCGTCATGCATGCTGCCGCTGGAAGACACAGAGGAAGAGGCGGACGGCACCCGTGGGAGAGAGGGTGCCGCCCGCCGAGCACACGGCTGAAGGGGGACCGCGGACGGCTGGAGGGTGAGTGCCGCGAGCGGACTGCAGCCTCCCCTCGCAGCCGCCCGCGGGACCCTGACAGTACATGTGTAAAAACTGTATTTCTCTGCCTGTGATAATTACATTAACCCACTGTGTTCCGTAATTATATCACAGGCAGAGGGAAGGATTTTGTGTGTAATTGCTGAGTGTATTGTACGTATTGATTGGTTGTTCTGCAAAACCCTGTGGGTGGGACCTTGTCTGTAAAATTAGTATATAAGGCCAAAAAAGACACAGCTCAGTCTGTTCCTGCTTGACCCTCAAAACGGAGCCTTGTCTCGTTCTTGGGGGAATTTATTGTATACTGTTCCAGTTCGACTGCTAGGAGTGTAAACCTATTCGTATGGTTTTTCCTATTCGGCTGTTTACGGCATTCATATGGTTTCCTGTTCGGCGGATTGGTGTCTTTGGTAGCTGCCTGTATATCTGGAAGGGGAATATCTACTAAACGGCTTTTAACCCCTTTTATGCCTGGGGGTGCCGTTACACTCACTGACCTGAACTAAGCATCGTGGGAGCTTGTCAGCTAGGATTCACCACCACTGCACTAAATTAATGTAGCTCCTGTGGAATTAGACTGCAAATTGCACTATTGTATGGTCTACCCATAGAGTATTCTCTCTAACAAATGAAATATTGTTATAACATTTACTTAGTGTCAGTATTACTATACTCCTACACGCAGAGCTTAGGTCAGAGAACAGAGAGATAACAGAGAGCGTATTACCAGACCTTACAGTCACCGGGCTTAACGCAGGTAAATAGAGAACTTGTGAATAGTAGAACAAGCCAAGGTCAGGATTACAGAAGTACAGAATATCAAATAAACTAGCCAGGTAAAGGTTAGAGATACACAGAATCAAGAAACAGTCATGGTCAATGTCAGAAAACAATAAAATAATGTTCTGGGAACCAAACGGAAACCACAACAGGGCATATGTCAGGTCGAAGAGGGGTTTAAATAGGTCAAAAACCCTCCTATTGGTTAGCGTTAATTGTTCTGATGCCAGAATGTGTGACGTGTTACAAAATTGAGACAGGCACACGCATTGGCGCCATAATTAGGAGCGTAGATGCAGAGTTCCACATCATTATTACTGCATACGAACGTAACAATTATGCAAAGATGATTCCAGCTCTGATGCAGATGTACAGTGACTCTTTTTATGATCTGTGATTTTATCAAAATCATTATAAATATTATCAGCTCCATGAACTTTTTAATATGACGGTGCCTTATATATCCAGACAGACACAATGCAAAGAACAACGCCAACATAAAATGTAAAACTTAAAGTAAACATATTTACCCTGAAGATAAAATAACATCATCTGAACGTCCAACAAACCAGAAATAGCCTTCTTCATCTTGAATACCTCTGTCTGCTGTAAGATAAAACTCTCCTCTTATCGTTGAAGCCGTTTTCTCCGGATCATCCTGTTAAGAGTAAAAAGTGGCTTATTATAGCAAATACAGCTTTAGACTATGCTTTGTTATAGGGTAACTGGACCATAAGCTGTGTATGAATTTTGAAAAATAAGAACAAAATACTGGGGTTGCTGTTTCTCTCGTGCAGAGGGAACTTGCTGGCATTTCGAATCTGGACTGCCCGTACGGGTGGGACCACTCTGATATGCAGATAAGTTCTCTCTATAATGGCACTAGATGAGCTAAAACCAGCTTGAGTTCTGAGCGGGGACCCACTGAAAGGCAGGCTAATTGAGCTGTTGTTCGTTCTCTCCTCTCTTGCTAAATGTTTTTCTCTCTTCAAATAGTAAAGTATGCAATTTTTTGAATATATATATATATAAAAAAAAGCACACATCTGAATATTGACAAGCCAGGGGCTATTATATGGTTTAATAATAATCGCAAGTGTTTCTTACTGGAAATTAAAATCACAAAATCCCATTTTCGTTTGCAGATAATTCTGTTTACACATTGTGTTAGATGAATAGTAGATACAACAAAATACAGAAAATTAAATGACATACTTACCTAGTAAGGTCCCTCCTCCTTCCATACCTCAGTCAAGTCCAAAAGCAAGAAGGGAGGGTGACTGATGCTGCCATGATACATAGCCAGGAAAAGAAAATTACTAGGTAAGTATGTAATTTAATTTTCCGTATTCCTAACTAATCATGGCAACATCACTTATGGGTAATACCCAAGCAAAAACACATGGAAGGGAGGGAAAGAAACAATGCAATATGAATAGACACAAAACTCAGATTGCTGCAAATGGAATTCCAATTTTATTTATGTACTTCAACAGATGATAAGACACCTCTCCCAAAAGAAGTAGTCGTAGAATGCAGGTCCAGTTTGTAGTGCTTAATAAAGATAGTAGGAGTGCACCAAGTAGCTGTTCTGCAGATGTCATCCAGAGGAACCTCTGCCCAATTAACCCAATTAGCCCAAGATGATCCTAGAAGAACACTGTTCGGTGGAATCGTTCGTCTGGATGAGGGGAACAAGCTTCATGGTTCAAATAGAGACTACGATTGATATTTTATTAGTTTTTATGTTAATGAAGGTCAAAAATGGGACTTCCATGGAAAACCCGAACCACTGAACCGATCTGGGTGATTTTTGGATATGTAAGTCACCCATAGCGGGGGTATCAGGGGATGTGACATTTGTGAGGGTTTTTTGTGTATTTTATGTCTATTTTGGGATGTTTTATAAACTGTTATATTTTCTGTCCCTGAGAGATAATTAACTTATAAGTGTTTGCTTGGGTTATTATCTATCAGGCACAGAGGACTCTGGCAGGGATTTCCCTGTTGTTTTGTGTGGGAGACCCCTTGTAGGGGCTATTGTATATAAGCAGGCCATCTGGCCAGATTAAAGTATTCCAGCTTGTACTCCCAGAACTATGTGTTGTCTGGTTAGTGGGAGGGGAAAGGGCTAATCACTGTTCCAGCGTGGAGGATTCAGCAGGGAAAGTCCTTGTAAGGACTACAGCTCCCAGGATTGTGTGTTGTCCAGTCCCTGGGAGTGGATAGAGCTAGTCCCCTATTCGACTCCAGGATGGAGAGGTTCCAGGACCCCAGTCAAGTCAATGCCCTGTTCCAGCTAGGCAGCTGTCCTTTGGCAGAGGTACCCAGCCGGGGTACAGGGAGCTCCGCTACACTCTGTATCTGGGTCTCATGCTAGGGTAACCACTCCTCTGTAATCTGCCCTTAAATTAAAATATTACCAGGACAGGTGATAGAGGTTATCTGGTGAGATGCACGCAGAAAAAATCGTTGTAAGCACTGTTATAAATGAGTCACTTTATTTGCAGCTGTTATGTACTGCTAGAAGTTTTAATGAAATTAAATTACAGAGATTGAGTGCCCCTCCCCCTACCTGTTTTCTAGTAATATCCCCCACTCACCGCCCATGTGTGGGTGTTGGAGGGCATTTGGTCCCCCTCCAAGGTGTGAATTTATGATCGGTGGTATAAGTATTTAATTTATTTGGACAGGCAAGGATCCGATCATGAGGAGACAGACACCTAACTAATCACCATTAATGAACTGATTACCCCTGATTCTTGATTGATGCTAATTTAAAGACGTAATAAACAATTGTGACATCTGTATAGACTAAGATTGCTGGATTCGTCTGTTTTGCCTTTTTCATGAATTTACCCGTTCGTATGCCTTTGTTTAAGTGAATGGACTTTTCTGCCGAACGGAACTGCCGAACGGACGGCCACCCAGAAGAGAAGTGTGCTGCTGGTTAACCTATTGATCCCAATTAGAACGTTGCGGTTAACCACAGACACTTCTCAATTAAAACCGAACACAGGGTGGTCGTCGTTCGTATGTCGACCACGAGGCGGCGGCCATTTTAAACCATGCGAAAGACCAGCGGTGTTCGGCATTGATTTCATGGAACTGAAAACGGACACTTTTTCAACCGAACACCGCTGAAGCCGTCGACCTCCCTTCTCAATCGACAGAAGTGTGCGAACACCGGCCGTTCGGGAGGTTTAAAGGCATGAATGGACTTACCCCAGATAGCCTTCCCATGGAGTCAATTGCATACCGAAGAACTGTAATAGACTTTGACTCCATGGCGATTGAACTATGCGTATGGGATCTGAGCGCTATTCGCCAATAATATGCACTCAGATCCAGGCTATCTGGGGATATGTGATACGAATGGGTAGCATTCGACAAATGTAAAGTTATATATTTTTATGTGTTTTTATGTGTTGAATGTAAAATGGCGATTTGCCTCTGTCCTGGAGATAATTGAAGATAATGGAGATAATCCTCACGAACGGGGTCCGTATGGGCACTTTACAGCTCCAAACTCACGAATCGCCAATAGCAGCCGAACGCAGGTATCTCCCAAGCGGCTAATAATCCCATCCAGCAGTCTCTAGTCGTCGGTAATAAATCCCCCCAATAACGACACCAAGCTCCGCATTGAGGGTAAAACAAGAACTGGGTTTACTGTGGGCTACCTGCCCGTATTTATGCAGGTCTCCCACTTGGTGGACACTCCCCTAGGGGACCAAATGGGAGACTGTGACAACAGATAGACATATGGCAGTTCAGGACCCACAGACACAAAATATTCCCAGCATGCAATAGTAATTCCTCCCCTCTGTCCTGGAGATAATTGAATTACTTCTCAATTATCTCCAGGGCAGAGGGGAGGAATTACTATTGCATGCTGGGAATATTTTGTGTCTGTGGGTCCTGAACTGCTATATGTCTATCTGTTGTCACAGTCTCCCATTTGGTCCCCTAGGGGAGTGTCCACCAAGTGGGAGACCTGCATAAATACGGGCAGGTAGCCCACAGTAAACCCAGTTCTTGTTTTACCCTCAATGCGGAGCTTGGTGTTGTTATTGGGGGGATTTATTACCGACGACTAGAGACTGCTGGATGGGATTATTAGCCGATTGGGAGATACCTGAGTTCGGCTGCTATTGGCGATTCGTGAGTTTGGAGCTCGTGAAGTGAAGTGCCCGTACGGACCCCGTTCGTGAGTTTACAGAGTTCCCTTGCTTGCGGTTTGTATGATTATACTGGATACACATGCAGCCTGGGTTATTGCGAATGGGGAGCATTCACTAAACGGCGGTTTGTACATTTCATGCTGAGGGTACCGTAACAACAATATTGTACAAATATATATATAAACTATCAAATTCAATGCAAAAACTCATAATATCAGTTATCAATAAGGCAACAAATATAATAACATGCAATACTAAACCCAATAGGCAATCTTCTCTATGGTAAAACAACTCATGGTTAACCCCTTAAGGACACATGACATGTGTGACATGTCATGATTTCCTTTTATTCCAGAAGTTTGGTCCTTAAGGGGTTAAAGGACCACTATAGGCACCCAGACCACTTCAGCTTAATGAAGTGGTCTGGGTGCCTGGTCCAGATGGGGCACCCTCAGGGCACTATAGTGCCAGGAAAACAAGTATGTTTTCCTGGCATTATAGTGGTCCTTTAAGTCAGTATGAAAGCTAGATACTTCACATCAGGAAGCTAAAAAAGTATATGTTACACAAGTATCTCAGTAAAAAAAAAAAGTTGACTTAAAGGAACACTACAGGGTCAGGGACACAAACACATATTCCTGACACTATAGTTCTAAAAACACATTTTATGTAACTGCCCCCCCTTGCCTCCGGTTAAAAAGTTATTTTACTCACCTTTCATCCAGCGCCACATCGTTTTTCTTGCAGCTGGCTCCACCATGCTCCACCTCCTTGCCTGACATCATCAAATTTAACAATCTTAGCCAATTCAATGCTCTCATAGGAAAGCAGTGGAAGACTATTGAGCATGAGCGTCAAAACGCTGTGATGCGCTAATCAGTGTCTCCTCACAGGAATGCAATAAATCAATGCATCTGTATGGGGACCATTTAGGATCTCCATGCTGAGCGTTGTGATGCTGAATGTCAGTGCTGCACAGTGTGCAGAACTGACCCAGGAAGCACCTCCGGTGGCCGTCTGAGTGATTACCACTGTTTCTAGGCCTTTCAGAGAAAATGCACTGATTATTAAAAAGAGTGCCGGGACAGACTAGACACCAGAAAAATTACATTTAGCTGTAGTTGTACTGGTAACTATAGTGGCCTTTAATTACATGATGTTTTTAAACTTAATTTCCAACTACGTATTATAAAATGCCTCTCCTTATATATTCTCTTACTCTTTTTTTTTTTGCAATAAAGGTTATGTTTTATATTTAAGCAAGCTTTTGTGGGAGGGCTGTTCACAAAGTTGGACGTTACTTCTTTTTGTAAATATGTGTCGTTCAGCATTAGGCTCTTTTTGCCTATGTCTACTTTTTAGTCGTCACTTAATTTATCGGTGACTAATCTATTTCTCTATTTAGTATTACATGATTCATGTGTTTTGGTGACCATTTTAGAGCTGTGAAAGAAAAGCAGTTTAATTACTTAAAGACAAATGACCCCTTTTGTCTTCTTGACAAGCACTATATCTTGACAAGACCCTACATTGACATGGATTGCGCTATGCATTTTATGACAGCTGGGACAGATTGTGTGTTCTCTACGGAATGTTAATGAGTGAAGTCCGGTTGGGTTAACATCAAAGGCCTGCACAACTCATACATCACAACTGGTATATACACAATAATGCCCATGATTGCTCACACTTCCAAACCAGATCCACCATCTCATGTGTGAGGACTCTCAGATGCATGGATCAGATTGTAACATAGGTTTGAGAAACCATCAAAGTCATCTCCCACCGTCCCTTTTACCCCACTCTTAAAGGGACAGCCCATGCATTTAAGGCATATTATAACCAGTACAGTAGTTTGACTAGAAACCTGTACAGGGCTATGCATATTCACTTGAAAGCTTACTCCTTTAGAGTTACCATAAATCTAATATATATAGACTGTAGAAGAAGAAGCAAAAACACGATTTCCAGAAAAAGGTCACTGGTTTCCCTGTCTTCGTACAACTTAATGATGCAGAAAATCTGACTGTGACTTATTATCCCAGAATGAGATATGTGACAACTGAGACTTTGACCTCTACTACATAACAAAGAAAGATTAAAAACCAGGACAGGTAGGCAAGGGATGGATATTTCAGACATTTGACCACCTTGTAAAAATGGCAGACTGTGCCCATGGTATGATGTTATTCCTGTGAATAAAATGATCTGTCCCTTAAAATAAGATAAAGCTGCTTTCTGGATATGAATGATATATATTCCTTTCCTACCGTGTATTGTGAGAACAGACAAAATGGCCGATTAGGTGATATCCTTATGGCAATATCACCTTCTTTTCCCTGCGGCACGATCTGCCCATTTTCATCAACTATCTGGAATAGAAACAAACATACAATTTTGAATGATAAGGGTTTCTAGGGAAAGAAAACATATCTTAATCTTGGTCAAAGGAGAGGCGTATGTATTGATTCGTAAATCACTTTGTTGTGAGAAATCTGCTAATCGGTGGTTACTTAATCACAGTTCAATGTTTAGAGGATAATTCCCTCCATTTTCTTCACATTATATGTGAATGAGAAATTACCTGAACATCATATGCTGGGGAAGCTTTGCCCATAGATCCAGGTTTAATTTTCATGCCTTTAAAATTTCCACAAATAATCACCTGGAAGGAATACAGTATACATCACTTATATTAACGGAACATCTTTTAATCTGGGATACAGTTAACAACTAACCTTATGTATTCCCCTTTCTACCTGTTATTTATCTAGTATAATGTACCGTTTCAGTCTGTCCGTATCCTTCATAAATGTCCAGTCCTGTGTATGTTTTCCATTGCTCCATAACCTGTGGGTTGATGGGTTCCCCGGCACTAACACAATGCTTCAAATTCTTGAACTTGTATCTTCATTGGCATGCAAACAAACACAGCAATAATAACAATGTAATAAAAGCAGTGTTGGAGGAGTGGGGAGGATCAGTAGTTGTTATCCTAGAGCTGGAGGCTGGAGGAACATTTGTTTCCTAAAAACTATGATGTTATTTTATGCCATTCATAAGAACCATCTCCAAGTATGGATAAATAAAATACCCACAATGCACTATACACCTATCGGAATCATGGGACAGTAGTTCATCAATGGTTTATTTAGAAACAAAGCAAAATGTGTTTATCGATAATGTTACAATATCCACCAGGTTTTCAGGGACACATTTCATGTATACAGATTGATTGGCAGCACATGAAAATGGTGTCCCTGTAGTATGTAAAATTCAGAAGAAGGTGCATAAGATTAAGTAATTAGGCAATGAAGAATCCTGCAGAATATGTATTATACATATAACAAGGCAACCCTTTTCATGCATTTTCATAAAGATGACAAACTTATATGTGTCCCTGAAAATAAGGTGAAAAAAACCCTAGTACCCCCCTGGCTCCGGCCCCTGAGCGGCGGGTGGGGGCCATAAAAGACAATGGGGGGGACCAATTGTCCTCACCCCCGGCCCCCACCCCTAAACGGTGGGTGGGGGCCATAAATAACAATGGGGGGCTATTGTCCTCCCCACCCCGGCCCTCACCCCTGAGCGGTGGGTGGGGGCCATAAAATGATTATTAGGGGAGGACCTATTGTCCTCCCCCCTGGCCCCCACCCCTGAGTGGCGGGTGGGGGCCATAAAAGACACTGGGGGAGCCTATTGTCCTCCCCCCTAGCCCCCACCCCTGAGCGGTGGGTGGGGGCCATAAAAATGAGGGGGGAACCTATCTCCTCCACCCCGGCCCCCACCCCTGAGCGGTGGGTGGGGGCCATGAAAGACAATGAGGGGTGCCTATTGTCCTGCCCCCACCCCTAAACGGTGGGTGGGGGGCCATAAATAACAATGGGGGGGCTATTGTGCACCCCACTCTGGCCCTCACCCCTGAGCGGTGGGTGGGGGCCCTAAAGAATTATGAGGGGGGGACCTATTGTCCTCCCCCCCTCGCGGTCCCCACCCCTGAGCAGCAGGTGGGGGCCCTAAATTAAAATGTCCGTCTCCCCCCTTCCAAGGTGACCAGGGGTCCCCAAGTTCAAATAAAAAAGAATCCCCTACCTACCCCCCTCACCCTAAAAATAGTGAGGAGGGAATAAAATAACTAACTACCTGTAAAAAAATAAAACTTACCATTTGATGTCTTCATTTTTCAGCCCCAAACAAGTCCAAATAAAAACCATAATACCAGTCGAACTTGTAAAAAAATAAAATAAAAAACCAGAGCGCAAAAAAAAATCTGACGAAAAAGAAAAAACCTGACGCTAAAAAATGAATCCATCTTCACCTGGCAAGGGCACGGCACAGACTGAGCTCCGCAGGGTAGAGCCCTGCCCTGCAATTAGGCTCAGAACACTCTGATTGGATGGCTTGAAATCCATCCAATTAGAGTGTTCTGTGTCATTTTACACAGGGTGGGAACATTTCAAAGAACTTTCCCACGCTGTGTAAAATGACTAGCACTCTGATTGGTTGAATTTCAAGCCATCCAATCAGAGTGTTATGAGTAATTTTACACAGCGTGGGAAAGTTCTTTGGAATTTTCCCACACTGTGTAAAATGACACAGAGCACTCTGATTGGATGGATTTCAAGCCATCCAATCAGAGTGTTCTGAGCCTAATTGCAGGGCAAGGCAAGGCTTTATAAGCCTTTCCTCACCCTGCAGAGCTCAGTCTGCGCCGTGCTCTCGCCGGGTGAAGGAAGATGGATTAATTTTTTAGCGTTAGGGTTTTTTCTTTTTCGTCTGATTTTTTTTGCGCTCGAGTTTTTTTATTTTATTTTTTACAAGTTCGACGGGTATTATGGTTTTTATTTGGCCTTTTTGGCGGCTGAAAAATGAAGATTTTAGGGTTTATTTGTTTTTTAACAGTGAGACATGCCCCTACTCGCGGTATAGCGAGTAGGGGCAGAATTTACTAATACTAAGTAATCTTTACTTAGTATTAGTAAATTTGGCTGAAAGAACAATTTAGGTCTTTCAGCCTTTTGGTAGATAGCTCCCTAATACCAAGATGCAGCTGCAGCACGAATAGGATCGGAGTTTCATTCATTCGAATGAAATTCCGATCCGAACAAAGTCCCGTATTGCGTTCTAACACGAATGGAGAAACTGTTCTCATTCTGTTAGGACAAAATTCGGTAGTTTTGCCGGCGTCCTGTCTAAGTGACAGGACGTTCAGGAATACTGACAGGATGCATCGCAGGAACAGGGTGGAAAGCTAAGAATTGTGGAAAAATGTCTCTGACCACCGGAAATGAAGCACACTTTGCTCCTCTGCTGGTCAGAGATGGTCAGGTGTAGGAAACCTCCATAAGACAAGTAGTCCCTACTTTGTCTTATGTTTTAAAGAAAGCTAGAGCAGACAGGAAGAAATAAAGAACAGATCCTGAGAGAGGGAGAGAAGAGGAATCGATTAAAGAAAGGTAAGTTCGGCATTAATACCTCACAATTCACAGTTTAATTAATAGCCCTGACAATATTTATATGGCACTGTAGTTACAATGGAGGGTAATTAATAACATCTATATTTATTCAGTTATATATTGATCTGATGTACATATTTTGCCATTAACATAAAGGGTTACTGCAACTACAATGACCACTTCAGTGATTAGTAGAGGTCATGGTGCCCAAAGTCTGTAGGTGCAGCGTTTTGCTATGATACACTAAAGCTATTGAGTTCAATCCAACTCCACCTCCCACAGCATCACTGGGGTGTCATCAGTCAGCCCAGAACTAGATTCCACGATGGCTAATGTTAATTATGTACAAATTTCATTGCACAGAATCTCAGTTATTGGCTGAGAGCAGTCAGCTGGCTCTCATAGCCAGTTGAATATTGACAGCCACAGCTTCTGCTCCTCTTCAGAAACCAGAAGCACATCACCAGATTACCAGATTGCCAAGAAGCTTGAGTGGGCCCAGGTAAGGGGGCAAGTTATGATGTAGTGGCTATGATGATTGGAGTAACCCTCTAATTCATAATGCGTCTGATAATTTTCACTATATAACCGTGCTAAATATAGGTTTAAAATTACATGTGTCAGGAGCATAATTTGGGATTTTTCTTACCCCGAAAGATCCTGCAATACAAGCATTCGGTATGCTGTTGGTGCTGAGCAAAATGTTGTAATTGGATATTTGGAGAGAGTCTGCATGAAAAAAAATTGTAAAATATTATATAATAGATAAGAAAATGAAACAAATGAAATAAACAATGTAAAATGTTCATTCTTCCATTACCCACTTGTAAATTAGCAATTTAGAAAACAAACGTTTGGTACCGGCATACAGCAAATGTACTATGATTTTTAATTATATTGTTGGTTTTTAAATCTATTCAGCATAGTTTTGTAATAGTAATTGAATAGTGAATGATGCTTCTTCAGATGCAACAAACATTTTCTCTTCCCTGTGGTCCTGTGAGCTAATCAGTGTACATATTAACATCTCATGCTTGGATTAGATTGCTGATACTTAGTGATGTCCCGAACTGTTCGCAGAACGGTTCGCGACTGGTTCGCCACGGACTCATCATTGAGTAAACTTTGACCCTGTACCTCACAGTCAGCAGACACATTCCAGCCAATCAGCAGCAGACCCTCCCTCCCAGACCCTCCCACCTCCTGGACAGCTCACTAAGAATGCAGCTTCAAAAATGATGCTGTCCAGGAGGTGGGAAGGTCTGGGAGGGAGGGTCTGCTGCTGATTGGCTGGAATGTGTCTGCTGACTGTGAGGTACAGGGTCAAAGTTTACTCAATGATGAGTCCGTGGCGAACCGTTCGTGGCGAACCGTTCGCGAACAGTTCGGGGCATCACTAACTGATATTACATGCGATCATCAACATATTTCTTTTTTAATTTTTGTTGGTCAGGTACATACATTGGAACTAGCAGCAGTATGAACATATCATAAACATGACAGGATTATTTTACATTAAAACTTCAGGGAGAAAGGGGGTGGGGGGTGATCTACCCATCGCCCTGCTCAAAAAAATTAAACTTTAAAGTATTGACCCCTGTCAGCAGCCTCCTGTGATAGATAAGTATAACAGAATTTGTATTTAATTATCATATTTAATCTGCCCAGCACAAACAAGGTCATTTTATCTGGGCAAAAAAAGGGTGAATCAAATAACAAAAGTATAGTTTCAGACAGTTAGCAAAAGAAGTTTGAAAAATTTATAAATTCGTATTTTTAACACTATTGTAGAAATGCATTAAAATGCATTTTGTAACAAGAAAAAGCTGAAAAGCTGCTATATGCCTAATTATCTTTATTACAGTTACACTGTTGCAATTTTTTTTCTTTTTTTTTTTTTTTTTGCTAGAACCTTTAAAATAAATATGTTTGGTTCCACATGAAATATTTCATTTAAAGGTGATTTCTGATATCAGAGGGTAATATTCCAAACGTCAAAGATTTCTTTATAGTATTCTCTAGGTAAATATCTTAGCTGTCTTCTAGAGAGAAAACTAATTTCCATTTCACAATATTGGTTTAAACTGATATATGTACATTTTTATTATTATTTTCATTTATATAGTTGCCAACATATTCTGTAGCGCATCACAATTATAAAATGGGGATATTTGACAACAAGTAATTTACATAGGGAATATAACAAGAGACAAGAGGTGAAGAAGGCCGTGCTCAAACGAGCATAAAATTTCAGATCTACTTTGCATTAAGGAAGGAAACTACAACTGTAAGTTAGAAAACAAATAGTGCGGCATGCCAAGCAGATCCTTCCAAAAAGCAAAAACCAAACAAAGCTCTTTTTACAGTCTCAATAATGCAAATACATTCCAATTATCATTACTTTACTGAGAGGGTAGTGGATGCATGGAATAGCCTTCCAGCTAAAGTGGTAGAGGTTAACATAGTTTAAGCATGCGTGGGATAGGCATAAGGCTATCCTAACTATAAGATAAGGCCGGGGACTAATGAAAGTATTTAGAAAATTGGGCAGACTAGAAGGGCCGAATGGTTCTTATCTGCCATCACATTCTATGTTTCTATGTTTCTATCATTTCACTTGATACAATGTTTAATTACATGTCTCTGTTGCCTGTATATTTGTTGGTCCTGTGTTGCACAATTACTATGATGGCTCAATCTCACCTGGTCAGCAATACCATAGCCTTCCACATCCGTGCCACAACTGACCCTTGGCATGTAGTCACCATTTACTGATGCAAACTGTTAAACAAACACAATACATGTCTAACACAAACGCAATGTGACTTACTTCTAGCACAGTCCCTGGATCAAAACGGGGCATGCTGTGAACAAATACACACGAGCCTTGAAACCAGGTGGCGAAAACACTGCTCCAGGCAGACTTTGCCCATCCAGTGTCTGATGTATTCCAAAATATATCTGAAGGGATCAGGTCCAGCCAATATCTGCATTGTATAAGTTATATTAGCATCTTTTTATTTTTTTATTTTTTTTAATAGTGCATGATTTGGAAAGAGTTAAACTGTTACCAAAGAAAGTTAAACATATTCCACCCAAGAAAACACCAGCAAACCAACCAAAGTTATTGAATAACTAATTGACTTAAAGGACCACTCTAGGCACCCAGACCACTTCAGCTTAATGAGGTGGTCTGGGTGCCAGGTCCAGCTAGGGTTAACCCATTTTTTCATAAACATAGCAGTTTCAGAGAAACTGCTATGTTTATGAATGGGTTAAGCCTTCCCCCTAATCCTCTAGTGGCTGTCTCATTGACAGCCACTAGAGGCGCTTGCGTGCTTCTCACTGTGATTTTCACAGTGAGAGCACGCAAGCGTCCATAGGAAAGCATTGTAAATGCTTTCCTATGCGACGGGCTGAATGCGCGCGCAGCTCTTGCCGCGCGTGCGCATTCAGCCCAGGAGGAGGAACGGAGGAGGAGAGAAGGAGGAGAGCTCTCCGCCCAGCGCTTGAAAAAGGTAAGTTTTTCCCCCTTTCCCCCTTCCAGAGCCAGGCGGGAGGGGGTCCCTGAGGATGGGGGCACCCTCAGGGCACTATAGTGCCAGGAAAACGAGTATGTTTTCCTGGCACTATAGTGGTCCTTTAAACAATAAAACTTTCTCAAAAAAAAAGTATGGCAGAGGAAAGCATATAAATCATGGTTCATAATATTCTTGCATGCAGTGCTATATCATGTTGCCCCTTTCTGATTCTCCCATCATTTATTTAATTCTGTGTTTATGTGATTTTCTCAAGATTACCAGTCTTAACATCTACCATAGGAAGTGTATTGAAACAGGTATTTGAGAAGCATTGGTTCAGTGGGCGAGGTAGGTTATTTATTTGTACAATGAGCTGTGATGAGCTGACAAGCAGTTGCAAAATATTGTTATTTTTAAATTATGTCTATTTTGACCTGCATTTTGCAATTCAGTTGCCATGTCAGTACAAATCCTGATTATTTTTAGTAAAGGGATCCGTAGGCATCAAAATAACTTTAGATAATAAAGCAGTTTTGGTGTGTAGACTATACCCCTGCAGTCCCACTTCTCTATTCTCTGCTGGGTTAAATCACTTTAATTTCTGTTTATTCAGTTAAAGTAGTCAGTTAATAGAAACCTTGGCATAACTATTGATCAAACAGCATATATATATATATATTTTTTTTAAATCAATATAAAAAGAAGATAGTCATTGCATCGGTACCCTTGGTCTTCACACAGGTGTGTTTGTCATCAGCAGCCCTTGTGATATTTAAATTGATGCTCCATTAATACCATTTCAGAATTAATTTCTGTTTATTCAGTTAAAGTAGTCAGTTAATAGAAACCTTGGCATAACTATTGATCAAACAGCATATATATATATATATTTTTTTAAAATCAATATAAAAAGTGAATACTCCTTATGGTGATATGCTTGTATGAATTTGGTCTTTGAAATAAGTCATGGGTGCATTTTCAACATGGTTGGAGGGCTATGACAAAAACAAAGCATCAACGGTCAATCCTAAATTTATTTTTAACATCACAGCTAAAGAAGAGGTATTTTAATAGCATGTATCAAAGTAACAATGATTGAAAAGAATCATAGGGACAGAACTGAAAAAAATAAATGTCTTTCCAGAATTCACTCACTTGCCATTTACACCTAAGCCTAGGCCAAAGCTGCAGTGACTGTGTTCAGTCATCTTTGGGTAACCTGTTGTTCCGCTTGTATAGAAGATAGTCATTGCATCGGTACCCTTGGTCTTCACACAGGTGTGTTTGTCATCAGCAGCCCTTGTGATATTTAAATTGATGCTCCATTAATACCATTTCAGAATTAATATGAAGAATACATTAACTGAAAGTCATAAAGTCATGCACCTACTGAAATAAGCTTTTATAGTCCACCCATCCTTCTCTTTTCTTTCCAATAATAATTTTGGTTTTTAAAAATGGAAACTGGGTTGATATGGAGTCTACATGTGGTGCAAGTTCATCACTGGTTATGATACATTTGGCCTTTGAAGTCTGTAGTCGATGCAGAATGTCTTTGGCCATGAGTTGTGTTGTCCCCGGGATCAGTATCAAACCTGCAAAGACAGTGTTTCATGACCAGATGTGACCTAGCATGCAAAGCTGATAAAGTATAGAGGAAAGACGGAATAGAGAGTATTACTGGTCCTTGGAGTGGCCAGGTTTAACGCTAGATTACCAAAGGATAGGCAAGAAATACCTACAAGAAGTAAAGCAAAGTCTGGACGAGCCAAGGTCATGATTCCAGAAAGCGCAAAACAGAACCAAGGTCCGCAGTACAGAGATCAGAGTAGCCAAGAGCAGGTCAAAGTCAGAAACCAAAAACAAGAATTAATACAATAACACACTCTTGGGCACAGTAACCATAACACGGTGCCAAAGCAATTGTGAACGGGAGCTTAAATGGGTGCAAAGGGATTCACATAGGCCAACATAATTTTTCTGTGACAAAACTTGGAATAACACCATGGAAACTAGCACCTTGGCATGAGACATACATTGTCATTGCATAAAGCCATCATAAACTACCAACACTAACACTTCTTGAACTTTTTAAAGGGATATATAAAAATACTAGAAATTAGATTTTCAAACCTGCTCTTAAACATGCGACATTGAAAAGCCACCACTCTGGTAATCGAGGTAAAATAACGATTACTCGATCCCCTGGATTCAAGTTGCAACCATCCGATAACAGGTTAGCCACTTTCCTTGAGTGGAAGCCTAGCTCTTCAAAGCTCCACTTGATTTCACTTCCTTTACCATCTATCCACCAAAGAGCTGGGTTGGACGAACGCCCACCATCCTGGAGAAAGACCACAGATGGTCATTAAATCTGAGAGAGCAATAAAATACCACATTTGAAGGATATGCATATATTTGTAGTTTTACCCTTAGTACCAGATTCCAACGATTACTAAATTAAACATACTCAGTTATACAGTGTGCACTAACTATGCACAGTGTGAGATGTTTGATATAGGACACACCAGGGCCTCTATTTTAGTTATATGTTCCAGTGGATCCTTAACATATAATCTGTTAGATGCTATTTAACAATCAATTTGCATTCGTTATTTAAAGGAACACTCCATGCACCATAATCACTATAGCTCACCGGTAGTGCCTTTGCTACCCTTCCAACCATTTTGGAACGGTTTGACTTCTTACCTGGGGTTCGCTGCGTGCTGCTTTCTGCCTCTACTACTAATGCTGGATACCCAGAAGTTCCTAAGCAAGAATTTCTATTAGCTCTTCTGAGCTGAGCACTACAATACTCCGGGCATCCAGGGAACTGTCCCCAAAAAGTGTATCATTACCTGGGAACATGACACACTCAAGCCACCAGAACCCTACCAAGAGCACTGACATAGTTGTTCCTCAAAAGTCTGCTCTCGGTGGGCTGGCCTGTATGCTTGGCAGGCAGCTGAGATGGCAGTAATTTGACAGACCCGCTTTCTGGCAGAGCTAGTGATGCTCCATTTAACCCCATCTCACCGACATCCCACGTCTCAGGATGCCAATGTTGGGGCATATGCTGAGACCATGGGATCTTCCTTAAAACATATTGTGTGATTTGTATGGAGATGCCTTTTCCTTGGAAGCTCTTCCTTTTGTAAATATTTGTCAACTTTTTCATTTTTCATAATACAAAGAACTTTATCTCATGATATATTGATTTTCTCAGAATGTTAGAAGGAGTATTTCATAAACATTTTATCTTTATGAAAGCTATAAAGTCCTACGCTAACTAGTCTTTTTCTCTTTACACCTAGTTTAGGCATGTATAATCGTTCAGCACGTAAAACAGGTATAACTTAGAGAGTTATTTACTAAGGTGAGAAATATCAGGAAGTATAATTGACTTGGAGAAGTTTTTCAATTTAGCTACTTTGTCCTTAAATTGGAAATTCACTCTAAATTCCCCAAAAATCTCACGTTAGTAAATATCCCTGTTTAGCATCTCCTCTTATTCTCTGTGGGAAACGTTAAATCTTTTGGCAGCCGCTAGAAATTGTAGAATGAAAACCTCTGGCAATCGCGAAAGACAACAACAGCCATTTTAGCGATTACTGTTTGTTGTTAAATGATTGTGACAATTATTATACTATAGCGAGCAGTAAAACATTTCACCTTTACAGAGTTCATGAGGCCTTGCATTAAATTATACCTCCTTATCTGTATATACACATCAAAAATGTGTCACCTGACAGGAAACACAATTCATGGAAACAATTCACACATAGCTAAATAAAATGTCTGTACACTAACAGAAGTTGACACAATGTCATGCTTGCCTGTCCATTGAGATACAGCATGGATGAAAATAATAAAAGAAATAAAACGATAAGGGGTTTTTCAATAAACATCGAACTATAGTGAAATAAAAATCTAAACACAAAATTTAGGCTATTAGTTCACTTTGATGAGTAACCATGTGTGAGCACACCTTTCTATTGTCTAGGGTGATTTTATGAAAATCATGCAATCAAATATAATTAATGTACCATTTTAATTAAAAAATATTAAGGTGATATTCTGAATCAACTGTAAGCTTAAGTAATACCTTAAAGAATGGTAGCATTCTGGTGTAAATCAACCTTTAGTAGCCTCGTTAGCCAGTTAGGAACGAGAGTTCCAGGCTACTAATTTCAGTTCTGTGCATAGCCCTCATCAGCCCTCATAGCATGCTGGGGATGACTGACCAATGGTGGCAAAGCCCCCCTCAATGCTGTCCAAGTCCTCTCTCCGCCCAGGCCTGACATCACCGGAGGGGGATCAGGCTGTAGGGAGAATTTGGCCTTGGTGTGGAATACCAGGTGAGTTTTTATTTTGTCTATTTTTATGGGAATCATAGAATCATGGAAGAATCATGCCAACAAGGACAATGTTTTTGGTTGCAGTAAACCTCTCAGTGTTTTTAATTTTTAACCATTTACAGGTCTTAGCAAGTAATGGTTTCTTTTTTTGGCCAGTATATTGACTAGATATGAGCATTAGGGGGGCTAACAGAGTATACTATTTGATGGTAACTAACTATTCCAAATAAATAAATACATAAAATGCACTATAATCACAATATTAATAATTTATAGGTTCCAAAAAGAACAACTGGCTCCAGCTTTACCGATGTGCACTTTGCAAACACGTTTTTAACCAATATACAACGCAGCTACCCATCAAGTTGACTATTTACACTTACATCGTCTACTTAATTGATTTTTTTTATTGTATGTTTTATCATTTACATTTTCTGTAACTTGCAATTTTGTGAAAATAAAAAATCTTCTTAAACATTAACTCCTTAAGGATCAGTGGCATTTTATATAATCATACCAATGTCAAACTCTCAGGTCCAGTTGGGAATGCCCCTGGAATATGTCACGGTAAACCCCTTGCATGGGGACTTGCATATAAACCGGCAAGTTGGTCTGAATAGATTCATTCGTGTTGTACCCTTCATCTAGCTCAGGCTGATGTTTGGGTATGCGTCTGATTACTTGGTGGATTTACTCGTATGCTGTACTTTCGTCTGGAGAGAGTTCGAATCAATCTCCTCGGGAGAAAATGAACGAATGGGTATCCGAAATACCACAAATAATAAGTTAGTCAGCCATACTCAGCAGAACTTCGAAAACAAAACACGAAGGAAATTCTGTATTCTTTAGTCATGCAAATATAAATATATACATTTTTTTTTTTTTTACCGATGTATGCAGACATTGTAAGAGTAATGTATAAAAATTAACACGTTTTAAAGTGATATCAGCGCATTACTTGGTTGGTACCTTCTGAATAAAGAAATCGTTAAATCAACAACTTGAAAAACGTACCTTTTCAATTGCAGACCACTTGTCTAAAATGTCGCTCGCAAAGTTGAAATATTCTGGAACAACTGGTTTATAATGTAGTTTAATTTCTTCAAACTCTGAAAAATTCTGTGGGATATAAAGCGTCTGATGCTTGCTGAAACACCTGGTATAAATTCTCGGGGTAAATTGGGTTAGGACCCCTCTGGCTTTACAGAGGATTTTCATGGTAGCCGGGGATAACAGTCACTTTGAAAATATTATTTCTCTTTTGAGCAGATCATAAACCTGAAAATAGACATGAGTAATAAATAAATACATTTTAAATATAAACAGGGTGGGCCAAAATTCATAGTAGGATTGTAGGATTTGACAGGTGAATAACTTTATTTTTTAGTATTTAAAAAATTTTTGTTGCAGGTACATTAATCGCAAGTGAGACCATACCTTGAATATGCAGTGCAATTTTGGGCACCTATTCTACAGAAGGATATCATGGCATTAGAAAAAGTGCAGAGACGTGCTACAAAATTGATAAAAGGAATGGAGCGTTTTAGTTACGAAGAAAGGTTATAAAATTTAAATCTGTTTAGTTTGGAAAAACGGCACCTCAGAGGGCACATGATAACATTTTACAAATATATTTGGGGCCAGTACAAACCATTATGTGGTAATCTATTCATAAACAGGGCTATAGATAGGGCACGAGGTCACACATTTAGGCTGAAAGAAAGGAGATTTCATCTAAGGCAAAGAAAAGGTTTTTTTACAGTAAGAACAATAAGGATATGGAATTCTCTGCCTGAAGAGGTGGTTTTATCAGAGTCCATACAGATGTTTAAACTGCAATTGAATAAATACTTGCAAAAACATAACATACAGGGATATAATTTCTAATTAGTGGGGTAATAGCTGCTTGATCCAAGGAGACATGTGACTGATATTTTGGGGTCAAGAAGGAATTTTTTCCTAGTTTGTTCTAAAATTGGAAGCGCTACAGACTGGGTTTTTTGCCTTCTTTTGGATCAACAGCAAAATTACATGTGAGGAAGGCTAAACTTGATGGACACAAGTCTCTTTTCATGTAACTATGTAACATATTATAACTGAGTCTTTAGAGATTGATAACGGGTAATTTCACGAATGAACAAAGAGTAAAAATAGCGGAATTTTATTTTCAAAATGGAAGGCCCATTATTTTGATGTCAAGAGGAAAATCGTCTTGAAATGTGTTTTCAAACGGATTGGGCTACTGCCCATACAGCCGGGGCCACAATGGACCTCCGGAGACAACTGTTTGGCGAGCGGATAATTTTAAGAAATTCCCAGATTAATTGGCCACCGTGTTCTTTTGACCTTTAAGCTCCTGATTGCTTACTGTGGGGATATCTGAAGGAGCCAATGTACTTAAACAAACCCCGTACACCCGAGCAGCTCAAGGAGAAAAACTGTGCACAAATTTGAGCGCTGGAGCCTCAAAACTAATGTTAAGAACAATGCAATTGAAAGAGCCCGACTTTGCGAAGCAGCAAATGGAGTTCATTAAAAAAATGTCATCTTCCATAACTAGTCAAACAAATCTCCGTACATTCATTGTAATTGGTTTATTAATAAAAAGGGTTTTAACTCCTCAAACCCTACTCTACCTTTCGGCCCACCCTACAACTTGTTTGTTGCTGTTTGAAACACATTAACAAGTATAACTGTCTAAGAAACCTATGCCATACTTCATAAAAGTTGCTTTGCATTTTCACTGAATTAGACTTTCGGGGTTATTCACTAAAGTAAGAATTCAAGGTGAATTTCATATGTAAGGTCAGACGAAATGAACGCTTTCAGTTCGACTACCCTGGCCTTAAATTTGAAATTCATTGTGAATTCTCACTTTTGTAATTAAATGCATTGTTGACAAATTACAACTTGCCTAAACTTGATCACTAATGCTCTAATATTAACTTCTGATGATCACTCCAGGACATTCAGAGGATCTCTGTTTGTGTGGTTGTACAGTGTCAGTGATTGTCTGTATGTGTTGTGTTTGGTCATATATAAGATTCTGTGTTTGTGTGAGTGTAGATGTAGGCATTTGTCACTGTATCCACGTTTGTAAGACTATGTATCTATCTGTGTTTATGCAATTGTATGAGTCCATATTTTCTAAAGATAAAATATGACAGAAACTTCAGTGGTGCCCCTCCCAAATACAGGCTGGATGCTTCCCTGTATATAATGAAAACAAATATCCACTAGATTGCAAGCTCCCATGGTCAATAGTTCACTGTGGGTTTAGTATCAACGATTTTAAAGCTTCTGTTTACCTGACTGTGTTCTGTTCAGCTTTGTAGAAGATTGTGTATGTATAAATGAGATAGTAATTAATATTACTTCCCTGCTGTGAATGATTGCAGTTGTAATTTAATATTTCAGTAGAAAACATAGACACTGTCCAAGTTCTCAGCAATGGTTTAGCAATGTCCACATTATTTAATAAATACTTACAGAATTGCTGCCAATTGCCCGGACAAGAGTTTTAGCAATCTGATCTCTCGTTCCCCTTTTTGTCTCTGTTCCAAGTCTAAGAATGTTTGTGAAAGTCACACTGAACAGAGGCGGAGTATTAGACTGCAGTTTACCAAGAATCACACCAGAGGGCACTGCATAGTCATCATTATTTCCAGGCAATAATGATTTGTATCAAAATCAATCAATTATTAATCTTCCAGTGCTTGCACTTTGACACCTGAAATATCATTTCCAGTTTCAATAGTTCTTAGAGATACTTATGCAGGTGTAGTCAATATAAAATGTTATTTATTTGCAAAACAGTGAGCTGACAAATATATATTTTTTAATATTTCTTTTTTATAGGAATCAAAATAGTTTACAAAGAATCACAAATTAGAAGCGTGTGGAAAAACAGTTGGACAGAGATACAGATTAATAAATGTAAAAATACTAATAGTAACGTCTAGCAAGCCTAGTACAGCAATGCCTTTAAAGCTACATACAGCAGTATAATTCATATGGTAGAACTAACATACACACAAGACACAATGCAGTAATACAATTGTAACGAACGCTGCTATTTCGTATACCCGTTCATTCGTATGCTCCCGAACTGCTAAGTACTGATTATAGTCCGCAGTTTGGAGCGCTGATTCACATGTTCCCAAAAATCAAAGTGAAGCATAAAAGTAAATCCAGCGAATTGTCGGTCACATACCCAAACATCAGTCGAGATTAGATGAAGGGTACAACAGGAATAATTTTATTCAGGCCAGATGGCCGGCTTTTATGCGATTCAGGAGTACAGTGTACACGCCCACAAAATTCTGAGTCACCATGACTCTGCATAAGATATAAAATAGTAAAAATACATAATAATACACACAAAACATATAGGAACCCCCCTATAAATGTCATATTCCTGGATAGCATGGATCTGAGCGCTCAAGTTGTCCAAATAGCGCTCAGATCCCACAAACATAGCTGAATCACCACCGTGGTAAAGTTTTGACCTACCGCTCATAAGGCGCCGGCCCGAAATAGTTCCATAGTTTCTGTGGTAGCGTTTGGCTAATTTCGGGAGTTCCAAATTGAACAAAACAATGAACGGTTCCCCTGGCTCACAGGTAGGGTTTGTTCACCTTGTTCGTGGGAACAAACCTACTGAACCGTGCTCTCCTGGGTTGTCTTTGAAAAGAAGCAGGCGTTCGCGAAGTTGACGGGTGTACGTGGGGTCGAGTGTCCGACTTGTAGTTCTAGACACTCAACAACCAAGTCCCGCTGCCTCTTTTTGTGCAACAAGGTGGCCGCCATTTTCTCCAGCATATGTTGTTCAGTTATACGAACAGCGGCCACACAGGAAGAGCACTAATTCCTGCGGTTTTCTTTAAACTTAATGAGCCAGGGGGTGGTCGGTGTTCAGTAGATTCTACTGAACACAGAAAAATTAATTTTGGGAAACAAGGTATGTAGTTTTGTCACAAGAATAATGATGATTGAAGATATGGATGATGAAACTAGCTCACTTCTTGCAATTTAATGTAATATAACGTGTTTTATGTTTCAGTTTAAGTATTTATTTACTATCTCTTTTCTTTCCTCTTTTCACTTTTTTACATTTCTCTTGCACTCTGTTTCTTTGCTTGAAGGGTAATCCAGACAGACCCCTTGCTCACTGAGCCTAGAGGGGTATTTGCTACAACATATTGACAAGGCCTTGCAAGGCCAAAATGATTGTCTGTGGTTGCTATATCTCTAATGCAGAGAGTGTGGGCCTGTATTTTGGATCTAGACCACCATTTTAGGTGGGATCAATCTTATGTGCAAATTACCTAGGTTCTCTCTGTAATGACACAAGATGAGCTAAAACTAGCTTGAGATGTAAGCAGGGACCAACAGAAGGGCAACTACTTGACTTGCACCTTGTTTTTTTCTTCTTTCTTTTTCTTTTTTTTAATTGTTAAAAATAATCATACATCTGAAACACAGGGTAGACTCTATTCCAAGCAGTGGTGGATCCACTCCCCCATCTCTCCCATAAAATAGTGCAGCTCCAAGGCCACTAGGTAGGTGCCAGGGGGACCATGACCCCCCTACATTATTCTGTGCCCACCTCCCCTTTTGCACCCCCTTGTGCTCCCCAATTGAAACTGAAGCCATCAGGGGGGGCAGCCCTACAATGGTTCTGGTTGGGGCCATGACCCCAGGCATCACTTTAAACCACATCTGGACCCTTTTCTTTCTTTCAGTTAGTGTGTGGCTCCATAAGAGAACCGCACATACTCTACATGTAATTTTGTGAAGGAAGGGGGAGATATGGATGAAAGGGAGTGTGAGATATGGATGGAAGGGGTGGTGGGAGACCTGGATGGAAGGGGTGGTGGGAGATCTGGATGGAAGAGGGGAGACATGGAGGGAAGGGGCGGAGATATGGATAGAAGGGAGAGGGAGGCATGGAGGGAGAGACATAGGTGGAGGAGGTGGGAGATGTGGCGGAGGAGGGAGATATGGACAGAAGAGCGGGGGATATGGATGGAAGAGGAAGAGACATGGATGAAGGTGGAGGAAGAAATGTGGGGAGCTACATGGATGGAAGGGAGAAAGGTAGGGATGTAAGTGGAGAGACATGGATTGGGGGAGAAAAAGGGGGAGATATGGATGGAAGAGACATGTATGGATGGAAGGGGGAGGAAGACATGTGGGGAGAGACATGGATAGAAGGGGGAGAGGCAGGAATGGAAGGCAAGAGAGACATGGATCGGGGGAGAGTGATATTTTAGGGAAGAGGGGGAGATATGGATGGAAGGGGGAGAGACATGGATGGAAGTGGGGAAAGGCAGGGATGGAAGGGGGGAGATACTTGGATGTAAAGGGGAAAGGCAGGAATGAAATGGGAAAGAAACAGGGATGGAAGGGAAGAGAGACATGTATCAAAGGCGTCCTACACTAACAATTCTCCTTGCTGCTTTCAGCTAAATGGTAATGTGGCAAACATGCCTATGTCACAAGCTCCTGGAGGAGCCTGCTAGCTAGCCTCCTGCCCAAGGACTATGGGCCATATCCAAACACCCCATTTGGGAGTTAACCTGCCTGGCCTGCCCCAGCAGCTTTCCCTGGGTGCCACTGGTTCAGCACTTTCCCTTCTTTGGAACTGAACCAAACGCTGCTCGGCCTTTCGCATGAATAAACCCACGAATTGTCCTCAGAGGTACTTAGCCGTGATCGTTATGGAATTAAATTCGGCATGAGGACTTTGTGGATCCCGGTCACCTCAGTCACCTCATTGATACTTAGCCGCAAATGTTATGGAACTGTTTTCCGCATGAGGTGACCGTATGGTTCCCGGACAACTTGGTCTGGGGTATTAAACGACTTTGCTACCCACCAGGAGAGCTCGTTTTGGAGGGAAGGTGTCTGAGAATAAGGGGCACAAATGCTACCTAAGAGCCAGACGGAGTTCTCCATATTTCAGACACAGGAGCTCACGGAAGTTGACCGGCCAAAGCACCAAATGCCCTGGAACTGTTTTGGGCATATGACCACGCGTGCGACCGTTCAGAACTTTAACAAGGTGGCGTTTTCTCTACACTGCATGGATCTGAGCGCTATATGGAGAACTTGGGTGCTCAGATCAGAGCTATTTGGGGATGTATTATTTGTGGGGTTATTATATATTTTATGATATTTTGGAGTATTTTAATGTTTTATATTTTTGTATTTGCCTCTATTCGTGGGATATTATTAGCTTGCCGGTCTTTAATGCAGTTATCTCCCAGGCACAGAGATCTATGAGAGGTGCTTGTCTTGCATTAAATGGAAACCTTATGCTGGGGGCTGTGTATAAAAGCAAGCAACTTGGCCATAATAGACCAGTTCCTTTTCACCCTTCACTCAGTCTTGACTAGTGTTTGGATGTACCAGCTGTACAGCTATACTCTCTGCAGGAGAGCTTTACTCACTAGAAGCTGGATCCAGGACCCTGTTCCAGGGTTGGAAATGACGTCAAGACTCTGGCCAAGCTGTGGCGGCTAGGGGCTGGGTTGCTGCTGATGTCCCGGTGATAGCTAGGGAGCATGTTTGGCAGAGGTACCCAGTTGGGGTACCAGGCCGTCTGCCACAGGTAAAATCTCTAACTAGACAGAGAGTAGTATTTTTCAAAACCTGTCCTGTGAAAAGTTCAATAGAGGTGTAAAATGCTATTAATATATGTTCTACTTTTACTCTTTAGAATTACTGTGAGTGAAGGGGGAATGAAAGTGAGTTAGAAAAACATGTATGTTACAAGAATAATTTTGAGGAAGTGATGTGTAGTAATAACTTAACTGTCATGTTTGTTTATGCTTCTCTCTCTCAGAAATTAAGAATGGATTAGGATATAGTTTAATTTTAGAATTCGTGTATGTTAGAGTAACTACCTGATCTTTGCCAAGTCTAGCCAACCAAATGTATATATGATCATTTTCTATGTAGCAATGTATCAATATATTTTCATAGGAAATACTTCCTGTCAGAGTTCTACATTGATCATGGGTATATTTTCTGTATTAACATAGGTAAACAAATTTCGGAACCTGCTATTCTGGCCGGACTTTGTGGACACTTGTACACAGGGAACAAAAACCTCACAAGACTGGGGGAGGGGGTAAGGTACTGTGGGCCAAAAGGGATTGTGTGTTGATGACCATTGCTGTGGACATTCCACTCAAAAAAACATGACAGGCAGTCGTACTTGCCAAATTACCCTGTTCAACCCATACTTTGAGCACTGATGAAAATCTCTCGCAAGAGAGTGTCTAATAATGTGCTCACATTTATTAGGGCATTTTTTGGTGTCATCTGAAATGAGATAATGACAGCGGGAGATGCAAATTGAGTCTCTGTGATACATTCATTTACCTCAACATAGAGAAACATGGAACAGGATTTAGCTCTGACCTTTTCAAAAATATACACTTTGGAGACAGCCAATTGCAACATGACTTTGTAATCTCACAGGATATATTTATATCTAACTCCCAACTGCATATCTCTCAATTATTCTAACTGACATAAGGCACTACGAATTTTACACCCACGTTGCATTGTCCTGGGTTGGTACTTTGGACTAACGTAGAGATCGAACCAAAGAAATGTATCAAGATTGCCTATAAGTCCTATTTCAAACTATATCTACTAAAAGAATACAGACAACTTAAAAAATTATTTACACATTTAAAGCCTGATTAGAAGAACTGAAAGCATATCAGACTTTGAGAATTTCTTCCATTTCAGCTATTTTGACCTGAAATTTGAAATCCACTTAGAATCCTCCCCTTAGTGAGTAATAACCCAGTATTTGCCCACAGGTGATTTACTTATTATACATATATATATGGGGACGAGAATAGTGTTGTAACTGTGAATAAACACATGTATGACAACTTCTTGCTTATTCTTTTTTAATCTGTGCAAATACTATAATCTAATAACAGTACACCTTATCACGTGGTGCATTTACTTCCGCAACCACGAGGGCTTCCCTTTAGACTACCGCTTGGTAGTGACGTCATCACGAGGCGACCGTCTCGACACGTGGGTATCCTGTAGCTGTTTGTGTGCAGAGCTCAGAGCTCAGAGCTCAGGTTTCCATCCATTGATTGTGTACCCTCATTAACCATGAGCTCCGAGGGACAGAAGGGCAAGAAGAGGGGGAAATCCCAATATGTGGGGAATGCAAAGAGGCAAAGGGGCTGCAGGCAGCTGGAGGTGGGCATGCAGGGGATCCTCATCACTTGTAACATGAACGAGAGGAAATGTGTAGGGGAAGCATACAGCCTTCTCAATGAATACGGGGAGCAGTTGTATGGAGCAGAGAAGGTAAGTCACAGTTACAAATCTTACATTTATTCATGACACATGTTGGGGGGTTAAGGAATACATAGAAACTAGAACAGGTATTTGTTCTCAGAGGAGGAAATCAACTTGCTTCATCATTAAGGATGTTATATTAATAAAATATGTTCAAAAAATGCAGACAAACCTTATATTTCGTCTGCCTTGTATCCAAAGTCTGTAACATAACTACAAGAATCCAGAGAGCGCACAACTGTGCAATGGCTAGAAAGGAAGCTTAGTTTAGATACAAAAAAAAGGTAGAGGGGGAAAAGACCATTTTCATAGTTTGTGTGACAGAAAGCTATGTTAGCCTGAGAACAATGTTTCATCAGTTACACAGGTATGCCTGTGTGGAATCAATAAATAAGCTGGGCTATGCAAATGTACAAAGTAAAAATCTGAAAAATAAAAACCAGCAATTTTTGTGAATTTTGCAATATCAGTTTTATTCTGGTGAGTTTTACTTTATTGTGCCTTTTTTTTAAATTCTTTTTTTAGTTCCTTATAAGGATTCTGTACTCCGTCATAGCAGGACATGAAGTAACATGTCACATTCTATCTAATATGTGTTGACCTGGATTCTGCCCTTTTAGGATAAAAAAAAAAAAAACATGTGAGGGATTGCATTCACAGTTACAATGCCAACAATATTAGCAATGTCATGCTTATGATGGTCAGCTCACTCCCCTCTTGAGAGAGTGCAGAATTTGGCAGGGAAGCTAATCGTAACATATTTCACAGATTGTAGATAAAAATAATGCCCCATACATACATGATGGCCTGTTTTATGTTTTGCTATTTGTAATTACGCTACACGTAAACATATGACTGCAATCACACAAACAGAAGCGTGAAGAAATTAGTCCCGTGTTTAGGGAAAATATAATATATTGAGAGTGGAAATACATTGCGTCTCACTCTCTTCTCTTTCCTTACAGTTACACAAGGACCATGATGGTGCATCTGAAAGCGAGGATGATGATGATGTGGAAGCAGCTCTAAAGAAAGAAGTTGATGAAATCCGCACCTCAACAGAAAAAAACCTGCGCAGATTCCAGTCTGTAGACAGTGGCGCCAATAATGTTGTTTTCATTCGGACCCTGAATGTGGGTAAGATCTTAAAATATTTTGCATGTGATTAATTTCACTTTCTCTCATTGGCACCAAAATATTTTCAAAGATCACTTTTAGCACTTTATTTATGTGAGCTATTAAGCAAATATCTGTTTTCTGAATCATACATTGATTATATTGTAATTGGTTTATTCAGAAAGTGTACAATAACTTTGTTGGGAGAGATTATATAACACGTTTCAGTGAGAGAAGGAAAATGAAATGACATGGATACGGTACCTCGATTGTATAAGACCACTATCCATCACTAATTCTACTACAAAGAATTGATCCAAGCAATAGCTACCTATTTGCTGTCACACCACATACGGTTTGAGTAGCGTTGGTTTAGTAATGTGACTTGCATCAATACCTGTTTTCAGCTACACATCTTTATGTGTGTATAAACCATAAAAGTACATTACCTGACTGGAAGCTGTATATATGTAACTGTTAAACTTTAGGAATGAACCATGTACCAAAATCTTAATTTTCTTTTTTCCCATGCCAGTAATTATAATCCTATGCACTGCTAGCAGACACACACATAACTATGCACGTGTTCACACATAAACTAATCACTCAGATACATAACTAGTCATTCACTTAACTATGCGTACAATCATTTATTCGTACATGGGCACGCTTATTAATTCACACAATTATCCAGTTTTAAATCTAATTTTGCCTTTGCATGCCAGGTGGTGAATCACATTCACCACTACTCCAAGTCCGCCTGCGACATGGTTCTGGGTTGTGAAAGGGTTAAAAATAATAATCACAGTTTGTGAAAATAATGATACACAATTCCTTCTTAACATCACCCACACCTATAAAGGCAGCCACAACCAACAGAAATTATAAACAGAGTGCCTTACGTTACCCCAACCAAATCCAATTAAAACCCCACAAAACATAATTTAATTTAGCAGACATGCCTATAAAAACACAGTACTGTTCTATAAGTCTCTTCAGTAATGTGATTTCTTATACCAGACAAAGACAGAACTTAATTAAAGGAACATTTATTATGAAGATAAATAATGACCCTACGCACATATAAAATTAGGTTACAAACATATTTTGCATACACCCACAAACAGATGAAATAAAATGGAGAAAATTAAGAGAAACCCCCAATTCTCACTTTACTAGCAAGGTACCAATCTTTATGTCCCAAGAGAGCTATTGGTAAGGAAACTGGAAATTCAATACAAATTTGGCATTACCAATAGATTACAAATTCTTTAGATTTATGGCAGGAATTCTAGTTTTATGGGCTCAAATAATGTATTTCAAAACCTGGATGAAAATGCTTAATGTAATATATTTATGTACAAGTGATTAAGAATTTTTTTTTTCCTCACCAAACTCGATCATCTTGGTGAATACAGACATTTATTTTATGACCATACATTTCATGCATAATGCCACATAACAAAAATAAAATAGCACTTGAATTCCTTCCAAAACCTTATGTGAGTGACTCTTCATTGATCTTCGAATATGCATTAAAATATTGTGTTGTCTCTAAACTCTGACCGCCTATCTGATAAGGTTCTTTGCAGAACCTGAGAAGTTTGTTTGTTACATTTTAATGATTTTTCTTTGCAGAACCCGAGAAGTTGGTGCATCACATTTTAAAAGACCTGTATACTACCAAAAAGAAAAAGACTAGGGTCATCCTTCGGATGCTCCCTGTGTCTGGCACTTGTAAAGCGTTCCCTGAAGATCTCCGGAAGTATGCCGAGAAGTTTTTTGAGCCGTGGTTTAAGGCTCCCAATAAAGGAACCTTTCAAATTGTATATAAAGCTCGCAACAACAATCACATGAACAGGGATGATGTTATCAAGGACCTGGCAGGTACGGTTTCCTGGAGCCATGGGATAAAAAAATAGGCATCATGTTGCAAGCAAATCAGCATGTGATGCTTTATAATAGAACAGCTTCCAGGTTCTTTTTGTTAAGCACGGGTAGTCAGGGGGAGTTTTCTTTTTGTACATGCATGTTCTGAATAACACATTTTGTTCTTCAAAGAATAAACTAACACACACAGGAAAAACTCAGTGTTTAGCGCTTCCATTTCCCCCAGGATGTCTCAGACTTCAGGGGGTACTTACAAATAGTTCTCTTTGCATGTGTAGGAGTGCCAACAGAGCTTGCTTGATGAAAAACATTCCACATTAAAGCATCAAAACGTAGTGTGCAAGCGTGTTACATTGTCCTGAAATTTAAGTAGGTTTGGAGCAATATACAAGAGAAGAGGACAAAGGAGCAGAATATAGTGTAGTATATCCAGTTACTGGTGAATTAGATAAGCGAAATAACACAATTTTCTGGAGCTTCTGATCAGCTCCAGATATATGCGCTTGGATGGTAAATCCCCGCCTATGAATATGCCAATGATCTTGGTCTTTTGTTAGATGTTCCAATGCCAGTAAGTAGCTTTTGATGGTAAGTGTTATTTATTTTATCTAATTCACCAGTAACTGGATATACTACACTATATTATGTTCCTTTGTCCTCTTATCTTTCATATTACTCAACTTCTAATCGGATTTGAGGATACTTTGAAGGCGCTGCTTCCTTGCATCCCCTTTCCCCTATATTATCTACTCATGGCCAGAAAAAAAGAGACTGGTTTGGCAAGCACCATAAATCTCACTCCTTTATCCATTTGGATTGGCTGAGATCATTGAGATTGATGATCTTAGACTTTGAGGGGGAGTAGCAACACGTAGACCAGTGCAGATTGGGGGTGACAAAACCCCCCCAGAATTTACCATATTACTGTTTTTCTGACGCTTCTGTTTAGCTAGCTCAGTGTTTTATGGTTTTATTGTTTTTCTCAATATAACCCTGTTGTGTGTTTTACAGACATATTTGTATAGTTATAGTAAGTACTGCTTTTCTCCGTATGCTAACTGTGTCTTCTTTAACCCGACAGGCATTGTTGGAAGCCAGAACCCAGAGAACAAAGTGGATCTGAATAACCCAGAGTACACCATTGTGGTGGAAATAATTAAAAATATTTGCTGCCTGAGTGTCGTGAAGGATTACATCCTCTTCAGAAAATATAATCTGCAGGAGGTGGTGAAAAGCAACAAAGAGGAAACATCACCAAATCCGGCCACCACGGCTACAGAGAAAAATGACGACAAAACAAAGGAAGAACCAAAGACTGCCGATGCCTAGTGCAATACACGGGACAGTTGGCTGCAGAGCTTGGCCGAGCGTGGATACCTGCGGCTTAGAAGAATCCAGATATGGCAGATTTTGAAGCATAGTTTGACATGAGTCTCTCTTTATTCCTTTTGGAAACCACTAAGCAGAAATACAACTTCTCCTAAATTACCTTATTTCAAACTTTTCTGTTTTGTCAGGTTATCTACTGACTGTCAGAGGTCAGAAATTTCCATACATTTCACTTCCATCTGTAATATGATAGGGAAAGGTCTTTTAAAAAAACAGGCCCGTGTGTAAATATCCACAGCTGGTTTAATGTACTGACTGCCATCTGATCTTGTGCAGACTGTAGGGTTTGTTCGCTAAACACTGCATTGTAATAGATCCTGTATGAATTATAAATTTTAGGTCAAATTAATCATGCTGCTACTATGGTTGAATTTGAGTTTATCCAATCACCTATTTAAACCTAAATTTTACAATTCACTGCAATTCGGTGTTTAGTGTATTAACCTTGCGGTGTGCAATAAACACAGTCTTGCTCATCTGTACTAAATACCGTTATTGCGTATGCCATTTCTCTCCATCTCTGTCAAGCTGAGCTGATTTGTGAGAATCTCTAGACTGGTACAATGCCCCAGTGACATTGATTTAATTCTGATAAATAATGCACCTCTTCTAAAATAGTGATGTCCTAATTCATTAGCCTTTGTATGCTACCAAGGCCTTAGCGAATCTTATTCAAATTGAAAATGTTAACAGTGGTACTCCAACCAAAGCACTGCCCACAGGCCACTTCATTGAAGTCTGGGTGTTTTTATTGGTTCTTGGATAAAATAGAAACACACCAGTAACTGTATGAACATTCTTTTGAACACTAGCAGTTGGTGCGGGGGCATATATTATTATATGCTGCAACGTGAGGTTATTGTTCCCTGTTAAGGTACACCATTAGGGGTATGTTTAACTTTGTAATCATTTTATAATATACATTGGTTATAGAGGAATTTGCTTTTATGAACCAGCTGTGTCATCCTGGGACCATCCAATATTTCTTTCTTTATGTGTATATCATTTTTAATAGGGTAGTGAATAAAATTAACAAATTAAACGCTTGGACTTCAGCAATATGCTGCCTTTCCAGTTGTAGAATAAGTTTGCCATCTGCTGCCTCCCAGTGGTTGTTCTGGAGATTCTCATGCTTAGAAGGCATTGTGTACACAGTAGGGATTGACCGATATTGATTTTTTTTCAGGCCGATAGCCGATAACTTGTCGATATTCTGTACATTTACCATTTTGAAAAAATAAAAAATTTCTAAAATAGGTAAATGCACAAAATATACATGCCACATGTAGTGGATGCAGTGTGTTTAGACAGGGGAGCTGTTTGTGTAGTGGATGCAGTGTGTATTTGTGTAGTGTGTATATAATGAATACAGAGTGTGTGTGTTTGTGTAGTGTGTGGCATTTTTTTTAATTGTTTTTTTTTTTTTTATATATATATTTAAAAGTTTTTTATTTATTTTAAAATTTTATTTATGAGCAGGGAGGGGAGATGTAGTATTGCCTGGTGGTCCGGTGTCATGGAAAGCACAGAGGGGGCCCAGCAAGCGCTTACTTACCTTCCCAGCAGCTCCCTGTCTAAATCTCGTGGTCTGTGTGCTGCGCGGAGCGTTGCCATGGTAACCCGTGGCAACGCTCTGGCGGCCACGGAACTCGCGAGATTTACACGGGGGAGCTGCTGGGAAGGTAAGTAAGCGCTTGCTGTGGGCCCCCCCCAGAACCGCCGGGCTTGTAATGTATTATCGGCAATATCGGTATCTCTATTGGCCAATACCGATATTGCCGAAAGTACTGAATATTGGCCAGACCGATAATCGGTCGATCCCTAATACACAGTATCCTATATAATATATAGCCACTATCTGCTATCCCCTTCATAACTGGGAATGTTTCAGGACCGCCATGATGGAAAATCAAAACACCTTGCTCTAAAGAAGTTAAACACCTGCAGTATAAAGCAATGAAACTTTTTTTTTTTTCTCTATAAAACGTCCTAAGGTGCAGCTGATGTAACTGACATTTCAGTGGATCTGTTTTACAACCTCAGTTACTAGGAAAAATAAGACCTTTTTCTTGTAATAAGAAATACCATTTAAAAAAAAAAAAAAAAAAGTTGTGTTTTGGCACTATTGTTTCCTTAACTAATTCTCCTCCTTTTAGATCCCTGGATAATGTTTCATACGGGGGCTAGAAAGATTCAACATATATATAACAATTTGGGGTGCACTGTTTTGGCAGTTTAGGTCTAAAGAATATTTATAGAATATAGAATGCTTTTTTTTTTTTTTTTTAAATTGTGTACGAACTGTTCAATGTTTTGACAGATCTATTTGTAAAGGATAAGTCATTTTATTTTTGTTCTTTTGCTATTATTGATAACCGTTCTAGTCCTGCAGTAAATTACATCATTGTTTGTAAGTCCTTTCGGACTTTGTGCTTACTATCGTATCAGACTTGATATTAAATGTAGTGGGTTTTTTTTTGTTTTAACCTTTACCTAAAATGTAAAAGTGATATATTTTTAATTCTAATTTTTACTTTTAAAAGACCTAATTTGGTGGCAGTGAACCTTGGCACTCAGGCTGGCTAGGCATCATGAGAATATTTCATTCACTTGCACCTGTGGTTGAAAGGATTACAAACACCGGCCCGTGTTATAGTTGGCCATCATGCATCTCTCCAGCTGTTACACTTCCCTTGTTGCATTGCAATTAGGAATTGTTTCTACAACTGCCGGAGAGCTTCTGATTGGCTACCGCTGGCCCAACTGATTTGCTAATCAATAATGTGGGATTCGTGAGGTTTTTTACAGATGTATGAATTCTGGATGTGAAACACAAACATCAAACATTTGTAGTGTTTAATATATTGTGTAGTTTGTGTTTTTAGTGTTATTTAGTGATCATTTTAATAAATGTACCTTATCAGGTGTGGGAGCTATATTTACCTGTCTGCTTGTCTGGAGGTTATACTCCATTACTCACTGTTTTGTATTTTTTCAAATGTACCTATTAAATCTTACAAGGTCAGTTCATCCTCTCCTGTTTTATTTTTTAATTTAACTTATTTTTTATTTTAAAATGTCAAGTGACTAGTGTGTAACATGTTAAGTAAACCGCTCTTCTCCAAGACCATTCTATTTATCTGTAGAATATTAATGCTGCTTTTGCATTGATAACTTTAGTTTGAATATTCACCAGCTTATGTTGTTGAGTATTTATTTTTACATGGTGGCTGGTTGTTTTGGGGAATGGGGACAGTTAGGAGAAGTACCTCAAGCTGCCTCTTTACTCACATTTGCAAGAAATAGGCGGAGCATACAGCCCCCTTTGGCCACTGAATAGCGATAATAATGGTGCTAGAGGTGTTATTTATTTTTTTTATTAAAATTTAATAAAGGGGGGAAGAAACTCTGTAATTATCCCAAAACCTCTCTATCATTTCCAGTCACTGTGAGTGTGTGACCGAATTGGGATCTATTCATTGCTGTATAATATAACAATGAATAGGATTGTTTATTTTAGGAGGTTGTGGGACTTTACTACACTTAGCACCAGGCCTCATCATGTGATTGAGGGGGACACTTGGAACTCATAAGGAAAACAAATTAATCCTTTACATTTTGAAGTATACAGCTTATACAATGACAACGATGTCAGCTCACAAACAATCCCTGCGAATGAGCCGGGAGGCTAGAGTGCAGACACACACAATCTTTGCCTGACTGCACTTCTTGACATGCAGTCGCTCTCTATGACAGTCATTGCATGTGGACAAATTCCTTTAAATGACTGATACTGCCAGCTCTAGTCTCGGACTTGTCATTATCAGCATTTACAGCACGTTGCAAGCTGGGACAGGCACTCGTCTTCATGTAACAATTTTTTGTTACTATCTCTGCTTGTTGGGCTGCATGAGGTGGCTGAACATTGGAGAATAAGTTAGAATGCAATGACTTCAGACACAAACTAGGAGTAGATATGAACAAAAAAAAAGATGTGTAGATACATGGTGTGTTTGGTTTTCATCAGTGGTATCCAACCTTTTTTTGAATAGGAGGCCCGTTTCACTAATCTTCAAAATTGTTTGGTTTTGCCATCTTACCTTTCAGGTCGTTTGGTTGGTAGAGCTTGCAGTCTGCACCTTTCATCATTTTGAGTGCTTCCTCCAATTCAGCATACATTAATGAGTTCCAGTGCTGACTGGATAACCCAGCATTAATGCCCTGATTCGTTTAGAATTGTCAGATCATGAGAGAGTACAACCACTACTTTCACTCCTTGATGTGCAGACTGCTGGAGCTATGGCATGCTAGGCCTGTAAGTGAGAATTTTGATCATCTTACTGGCCCATGGAGTACAAAAGCACTCTTGGTGAATACCTAATTTGCCTTATGGTAAAACTGGACTTGTTCATGGCACCCTATTAAGTCCCCCTATGCTGATTGTCATTTTATATTTAATATGGGTACCCTGAAATGCATCACACCCATTGCTGTAGAATGAGGGATTAAAAATAAAAGCAGCAGCGAGGAGAGTTTCCCTGCTCGTTTACTGGGCAGTTGGATGGGAGTCTTACGTTAACTTGGGTTGGGGCTGCCAGGCCAAATGTTCCCACTAAGCACATACAACACTCTCAATCTTACCCATCCACCTTCGGCGGGATGGGCATTTTATTTAAATGCCCATCCTGCAACCAAGGGATAGAGCAAAAGTGAGAGAACATGCATGGTTTTGCAGTTATGACTGCTATCATAAGATGTAAAAAAAACGATTGTGTTCAAAAATATTAGTATGAGAATTTCCCATTCGTGTCCCCTAGATAAAAATGGATCACAGCTGATGACCCATGTCATCTATTGGCTATCTGGCACATATGTATTCCCTTCTTCTGCACATTAAAAAACATAATTATTGAATTGAATAAAATTAATTTTGACTGAGCAGAATATATCCAGAATAACTGACTCGTAATTCTGTAAAATATTATTTGCATTCTAAACAATGCTACAGTCTTTACAAATTTCTTTGCCTACAATTCATTTGGCCACCGTGCCAATGAAATGTTTAATCAGTTGATACGAGGACGTGTCATTTCAAGGTAGGGTCTAGTTTCACTAGGGAAAGGACCAGCAAGTCATAAAGTGATCTTTCTATTCTTCTGCTGTTTTCCAGACGGTGCAGCTTGCTCTCCAAAATCAGAAATGAAGACATCTATGCTACTTTTGTTCTATGCTTTGTTATTATCATTGTGTTCGGCACAGGAAGCAAAAACGCACAGTAAAGGGACTAAAGTCAAGAAACATAAACACCCCAAAATCAAAGAGGATGAAGATGTCCTTGTCCTTACAGGTTCCAACTTTAACCGTGCCCTCAAGGAGAATAAATATTTACTGGTCAAATTCTGTAAGTAATATTTCAAGGAGTCAAGAGAAGATGGGTTTTATTACATGAATGTCTAACCAAATGGTCATGTCTAGGTCTAGTGTTGACAATACAAGAAACATATTAAACAAGACAATTAGACTAAAAACATAATGTGAAGAGAGACTTTCATGTTCTTCATAGATATTTTATAGTTTATTTAGCCTGGTGATTACTAGATTGAAACAAATGCGTTTCAGTTGGTACGAACTAATAAAAGCCCTTTAAATCTATGCCCGAACCCCATCGATCCGTTGGGGAATTACCTGTGGAATCTTATTCATCGATTCGATACTTTCGGACGTAGATAAAATGCATCTAATTTGTTTACGACAGGTGAATTAAATTTGTCTGGTGATCACTAGTGAATTGTTGCTATAGTAACATAAACCATAATGAAATCCTTAAACTGAGTTGTGATAGTCACCAGTTCAGAGACCTACTTTCTCTCAAGATTTCTTGTTCTCTAATAAATATAAAAGATGTAATGATTGTGCTCGTGAGATGGGTCCACTTTTAATTCTGGTAAATAGACTCATTTTGTGGGATTCTTGCTCTTAATATGGTTTAGTTTAAAATCATTAATAATAACATATGGAAACAAATTGTGGTTTGGCAGATTGTTTAAAATATAGGAGAGCCATATGCATACTAATCCTTTTTTTAATGCATGTCTGCTCTTTTTTTAACAAGTCCCCTCTGATATGTTTCCTTGTTCAAAAACACACAACTTCATTAATGAGAATACATTTGTTTATTTTATTTTTTTTTAAATTCTTTATTTTTCAATTTTGTATGTGGTAATTATTACAGAAAAAAGAAAGGGTAAGTGCATGGTAGCCATGACATTTACACAATTCTCTTCATAGCATAGTTGTAAATGTACACAATCAGGGCAGCAGCAGACAATATTCGAAGGGTGGGGTCTCTATCCAGGGATGCCTGTGGATGCTAGGATCCCGGTTGTGGGGTTAGTCTGTGACTTCCTTTTCCCCGTTTCCCCCCACTTTGATATTTTGTGCCTTGCCCTATCTGGGGCTGGTGGAGCAGTCTGAGACTACATTTTAAAATATACTTTGGTTTATATACCTTGGTCTCCATGGTGACTGCCCTACTTTGGGGATTTACCCCATAACCTTAATTATAAATATTGCCCAGTACATTCTAAATGAGGGGTCTTTGTAAAGTGCATACAGGGATTTTGAAAGTTTTTTATACCCATTTATTGACCTAGCTATTTCGTTCTTAATAGGCTTTCATCTTTGTACAAATGCTATGCCACGCATGCAAATATTTGTCAATTTCTATTATTTTTCTTTGCCTGATTGTGATAAGGGCATAGTATTGTTTTATAGCCAATATAATGTTTGTTTTGTTGGAATGACCTTGCATTCTTTGATTCCCTGCTTTCAAGTTTTGAACGAACTTGGTTCACAATGTATAAAAATACATTGAAATAAATATTGAATATGCACTGAATGGTCCAGGCGTATTTAATCCTGAAATGAAAAATGATGCACACCAAATGTATTGAAAATTAAAAAGTAGAGGGGGAATACACATCATATTTTGTTTTAAAAAAAAAAGTCATAATATGCCCTTTTGATTTAGAAGACACAATTCATTTAATTAATTTCTCAAATGACTTCAGACAAACCATAAACTTCATCAAAGGCAACCAGGTCTATATTGTATTATTAAATGTTTCTACACCTTATACTTTAATGGTTATTCACTAAAGTGTAAATTGTTGGGAATTCAAAGTCAATTTTACATTTTAAGTAATCATTGCCAAATTGGAAAAATTATCAAAATCAGTTCATCAACATAAATATAACGTGGTTTTCTTTAGCTAAAATAGTATTACTCATGCAAAATACATGTAGTTTGACCTTCACCAATAATTCCAGTCGTACACTGAAGGAATAAAATGCAAGCTAGTTTATTTAAGATGATAAATGACGGATTTCAATTGATTCTAGACATTGCCTTATCTGGGCCTTCACAAACAGTGAAAGAAGAATTCTCGATAGCTGCCAGTCAACTAAAGAAAGAGTCATCAGACGTGAGACTCGGTCAAGTTGATATAACTCAAGAAAAAGATCTTGGGAAGGAGTTTAAAATAAAGGAATTTCCAACCATGAAACTGTTCATTGATGGTGATAGAAGCAATCCCGTAGATTGTAAAGGTGAGCTCAAATTCAACATTTCTAGCTAAAGGAAGAAATTTCATAGAATATGTTTTTGGCAGTGAAGTATCCTGTATCAAAACAAACCATGTTCATTTTTCCTTAAAGAACCGCTAAAGTCTCCTAGATCACTTTATGTCTCCTTTAAACAAGGAATTTGTATAATTGAATGTAAAGGTAATCATAAAAGATAATATAAGTAAATTAACATTTCAGAGAACAGGAATAAGACACCTTTTCAGGTGCTCCAAAGAAGTATCTATAATAAGACGTAGAAAGGTCTCCAGGGCACATTCATCATACCTTTCATTATGTCTTGTTCACTAGGCTAAAAATGACTGGATCAAAAACAGAGAATATGATAATTCTGAGAATGGGCAAAGGCTGAGAGAAATCAGTAACTTGCCCATCAATTA